ATTTTTTGGATTTGAGATTCGTTGTTAGGGATATGGGATTCTTGTCCGGGGTTTTGAGATTCGCTTTCTATGCATTGGGATTCGATTTGGGGGATCTGGATTCTTTCGATTTGGGGGGTTCTGAGTTTTACTCGTTTATATGTTTGTTTGTTGTCTTGGAATATTATTTAGCATGCTTGGGATACCAGTTCGTTGAATGCGGATATTGTTTGGGGGTTCTAAGTTTTGCTCATTAATATAGTAGTTTGTTGACCTATGATATTATTTAGCATGCTTGGGATACCTGTTTGTTGAATTTGGATATTGTCTGGGGGGTTCTGAGTTCTGCTCGTTAATAAGGTAGTTTGTCGATCGGGGATATTATCTAGCATGCCTGAGATACCATTTTGTTGAATGTGGATATTGTTTTGGGGGTTCTGATTTTTGCTCGTTAATATGGTAGTTTGTTGACCTGAGATATTATTTAACATGTTTGGGATACCAGTTTGTTGAATATCGATATTTAGCATGCCCATGATGCATGAATATTTTTATGCTAGGTCTGGATATTTGTATGCCCTATATGGATATTAGTCTGGACTGTGCATATGCCTAATGATTTCTTTTCATGTATTTCAGGAATTTTGCAAAATGACAAGATCCAAAAGCTGTTCGATTCCAGCTCCTCCATGAGAAGGGGAGGTGGAGACAAATCACTGGCTCAAAACTATTGCTTTCTCATTTCTTATGTGGTTGTGCTTTTTCGAATTTGAGATTTTGGGATTGCCAAGTTGTAATGGCATTGAATACTAGTTTTATCGCGGTTTGTCGATAAAACAACTCTTTTTTATTATGGATTTGAGTTTGTTATTCTGGAATATTATTATGTTAGGTCTGGATATTATTTATGAAATGTATGGATATTAATCTGTGTTGTCTAGATATTATGCTCTCATACACGTCTACATAGACACCCTTCTAATATCCATTCATTGCAAAACAAATACAAACACCACCTAGTTTAATATCCGACCACAAGACGACCACCTAAACCTAAAAACTAAACCTTAACCCTAAAAAAGAAACCTTAAACTCTAACACTAAAACCCTAATCACTTCTTCGAATCTACTCGAGTACCAAACCCTATTTTTGCGAGCATAACACAAAACCCTAAGAATAGTATCGGATGGCTCCAAAAAAGTATATGCACCATAATCCAACAGACTAGGATCCATCACACACTGACTAATATCTTATTGTTGTACACTAATCTGAATAGTTACCAAAAGTGCTAGATGCTTAAATAAACAAAGGATCATATCGGAGTAGTTACCAAAAGTGCCCCATTAGAATATCCAAACGTCTAAGAAAAGTATATGAAAACATGAACTAATGAACCCTAAACCCTAAAACTAAAACGAATATCCACACTACCAAGACGAATATCCACACCACACAGTCTAATATCCTTCTTTCTCATACGAATATCAAGTGATCCCAAAATGGATTTCATCAGGTTCAAATAAATATCCACACAACCCGGAAAAAAAATCAAAATATTTTGAATAAATATCAGTATGTCAGAAACAAGTATTACAACTAGGAAAGACAAGTATCTACAACACACAAACTAATATCTATTATTTGTATCCTAACCCTAAACCCTAAACTTTAAACTCTATCACCCTAATCAATAAACACTAAAAAAATAAAACTATTATTGTTTTCCCAAGCTGAGAATATTCAAAGGTTCCACAAAAATATCCAAACACATGAACTAAGGGAATATTTCATCCGGTTCAAATAAATATCCACACAACCCGGAAAAAAATCAAAATATTTTTAATAAATATCAGTATGTCAGAAACAAGTATTACAACTAGGAAAGACAAGTATCCACAACACACAAACTAATATCTACTATTTGTACTCTAACCCTAAACCCTAAACTTTAAACTCTATCACCCTAATCAATAAAACACTAAAAAATAAAACTATTATTGTTTTCCCAAGTTGAGAATATTCAAAGGTTCTACACAATATCCAAACACATGAACTAAGGGAATATTTCATCAGGTGCAAATAAATATTCACACAACCCGGAAAAAAACCAAAATATTTTGAATAAATATCAGTATGTCAGAAACAAGTATTACAACTAGGAAAGACAAGTATCCACAACACACAAACTAATATCTACTATTTTAACCCTAAACCCTAAACTCTAAACTCTATCACCCTAATCACTAAAAACTAAAAAAATAAAACTATTATTGTTTTCCCAAGCTGAGAATATTCAAAAGTTCCACAAAAATATCAAAACACATGAACTAAGGGAATATTTCATAAGGTTCAAATAAATATCCACAACAATCCGGAAAAAAATTAAAATATTTTGAATAAATATCAATATGTCAGAACAAGTATTACAGCTAGGAAAGACAAGTATCCACAACACACAAACTAATATCTACTATTTGTACCCTAACCCTAAATCCTAAAGTTTAAACTCTATCACCCTAACCACTAAACACTAAAACAATAAAACTATTGTTGTTTTCCCAAGCCGAGAATATTCAAAGGTTCCACAAAAATATCCAAACACATGAACTAAGGGAATATTTCATCAGGTTCAAATAAATATCCACACAACCCGGAGAAAAATCAAAATAATTTAAACAAATATCATTATGTCAGAAACAAGTATTACAACTAGGAGAGACAAGTATCCACAACATACAAACTAATATCTACTATTTGTACCCTAACCCTAAACCCTAAACTTTAAACTCTATCACCCTAATCACTAAACACTAAAACAATAAAACTATTGTTGTTTTCCCAAACCGAGAATATTCAAAGGTTCCACAAAAATATCCAAACACATGAACTAAGAGAATATTTCATCAGGTTCAAATAAATATCAACACAACCCGGAGAAAAATCAAAATAATTTAAACAAATATCATTATGTCTGAAACAAGTATTACAACTAGGAGAGACAAGTATCCACAACACAAAAACTAATATCTACTATTTGTACCCTAACCCTAAACCCTAAACTCTATCACCCTAATCAATAAAACACTAAAAAAATAAAACTATTATTGTTTTCCCAACCTGAGAATATTCAAAGGTTCCACACAAATATCCAAACACTAACAATAAAAACTATTATTATTTAATAGGCCTTCGACCTATGGGCCCTCGGCGAGCAGCCCTAACTAAGGTTGCAAGCCTTACGTGTTAGGACTTGATAGTGTGTAGGACTTGCTAATGTGTTTAATTTGATGTAAGACACAATATTCCAAACTAGGAAAGACAAGTATCTACAACACACAAACTAATATCTATTATTTGTATCCTAACCCTAAACCCTAAACTTTAAACTCTATCACCCTAATCAATAAACACTAAAAAAATAAAACTATTATTGTTTTCCCAAGCTGAGAATATTCAAAGGTTCCACAAAAATATCCAAACACATGAACTAAGGGAATATTTCATCACGTTCAAATAAATATTCACACAACCCGGAAAAAAATCAAAATATTTTGAATAAATATCAGTATGTTAGAAACAAGTATTACAACTAGGAAAGACAAGTATCCACAACACACAAACTAATATCTATTATTTGTACCCTAACCCTAAACCCTAAAGTTTAAACTCTATCACCCTAATCACTAAACACTAAAAAAATAAAACTATTATTGTTTTCCCAAGCTGAGAATATTCAAAGGTTCCACAAAAATATCAAAACACATGAACTAAGGTAATATTTCATCAGGTTCAAATAAATATCCACACAACCCGGAAAAAAATCATAATATTTTGAATAAATATCAGTATGTCAAAAACAAGTATTACAACTAGGAAAGACAAGTATCCACAACACACAAACTAATATCTACTATTTGTACCCTAAACCTTAAACTTTAAAGTCTATCACCCTAATCACTAAACACTAAAAAAATAAAACAATTGTTGTTTTCCCAAGCCGAAAATATTCAAAGGTTCCACAAAAATATCCAAACACATGAACTAAGGGAATGTTTCCTCAGGTTCAAATAAATATCTGCACAGCCCGGATAAATATCCTCGGGTTCAAATAAACTCTATCACCCTAAACTCTAAACCCTAAACACTGAACCCTAAACCCTAAACAATCAACACTACTAAATAAACTCTAAAAACAATATAATTAGGAAAGAATAGATATTCATACTGACCAGACAAAATCCTAAACCCTAAAGAGAACCCAAACCCTTATGTTGAAACCTTAACCCTAACCGTAAACCGTAAACCGTAAACCATAAACCAAACCTAAACAATCAACCCTAAAAAATAAACCGCTCATTAATAAAAACTATTATTATTTAATGGGCCTTCGGCCCATGGGCCCTCGGCGGGCAGCCCTAACTAAGGTTGCAAGCCTTACGTGTTAGGACTTGATAGTGTGTAGGACTTGCTAGTGTGTTTAATTTGATGTAAGACACAATATTCCAATCTTTCACAAATTGAAAACCAGAACTCTAAATCCTAAAACTAATTCTCTAAATTGGTTTAATCAGTTTATGGTGGTTGGGTGATTTTGGGCCGCCGTTAAACATTAATACGACCCAAAATTTCAACAATGATGCAAAGCACTATCAACATAACAGAAATTAATATCCACTGAGAACAAATAAATATCCACACAGAATAACATACATAAATATAACATGGGCCCATCAAATTTGGTTCTCTTTCCACTCCTATCCATTCTCCCGCCCAAAACTCAAGCCGGGCCCACCAGCTTGCCAGCCACTTTCAGCCATTCTCAGCCGCCGCCACTTGCTGGGCTGGCTTCTACCTATTGGCCCACCTACAGCTCACTTAAGTGAGCCACTACCAAGCCACCTCTCCCCTCCATTGGATCAAATACCCGCCAACATGGCCCTTCATCCTGCCCTGTTAGTATATGCTAACACTTTGCCCTGTTAGCAGAATAACTTCTGCGCTCAAACTGACGTGGTAGACCGGGAGTACACAAGATTTTCTCGACTTCCAGACCAAAATACTGAACACGTTGGACTAAACCCTAAAAGCTTCCAACTTTCCGCCAATGGCGTCGTCTACTCGCCTCTCCCAGCCGCCGGCTTTCTCCAAAGCCCTATCTCACCCTCTTGCTCGAGACCCATTCCCCAAAATCACTTCTTTACCACTGAGATTCAATCGACAGCTCTCCCGCCACTCCCTTTCTCTTCGCGCCGTCATCTCCCAAAACCCTGCCAAAACGACCTCGTCACAGACCAATCAGTTTGAGCACTGTTTCAGCAAATCCTCCGATGGGTTCCTCCAATGTGAGAACGTCAAGGTCCAGGATATCATGGAAAGTGTGGAGAGAAGGCCTTTCTATTTGTACAGCAAGCCTCAGATTACTAGGAATGTGGAGGCGTACAAGGATGCCCTGCAGGGAATGAGTTCTATTATTGGATATGCTATTAAGGCCAATAATAACTTGAAGATTTTGGAGCATTTGAGGTCGTTGGGTTGTGGCGCTGTTCTGGTTAGTGGGAATGAGCTGAGATTGGCTCTCAGGGCTGGGTTTGATCCTACCAAGTACGTTTTTCTTGTTAAGCCAGTTGCTTGTGTAATTTAGTTTCTGGTTTGCTAGTGTTCATATGCATTGTAAGGAAGAATTTTCTATTGAAGCTTTGTGCTTTTGATTGGTGTCGAATAGTGGAGAATCATTTATGATCATGGATGTCTTATGGTTGTGGAACAGGTGTATATTTAACGGAAATGGAAAGCTGTTGGAGGATTTGGTATTGGCTGCTCAAGAAGGTGTCTTTGTTAATATAGACAGTGAATTTGATTTGGAAAATATTGTCGCAGCTTCTAGGATTGCCGGCAAGAAGGTTAATGTCTTGCTACGCATCAATCCTGATGTGGATCCTCAGGTATGTGATATGAAATCAGTGGGATTATGCTTATTGTTTTCTGTTAAATGGTTCTATTGGATAATGTTTAAAACTCAGACAGATGATTGTGCAAGTTGAATCTGTGAGTTTTTTTTTAAAGGGAATCTGTGAGTTTGTAGACTAGATTATTATGCTAAAGGAGATAATAAAGAAGTTGTGGGGAAATAGTCACAATTGAAGCCTGGTGCCTGTTCATATTGGATAGCAAGAACCACCACTAGATTCTGAAATAGATCTCGAAGGTCAAATGCCAGTTGCCAGTTGCTTAGGCTGATAGTTAACGTTTTAGTTTCGTAAAGTTCTTTTTGGTAGATCCTGTCACATACTGGGGTTCAATGTCATCGACTATGCTTGAAAAATGGAATCTTATGCTTTAAACCTGTCCAAGTTGTTCATAGTCCTTTCATGTCTATGTTATTTATTTGAGGGGTTAATATTTTCGTATGGCCTGAACTTTGACCAAAATAAACATCCTGGCCAATCTTTTCGATCTATAACATCCTGGCCCGAACTATACACCAAAATAAACAATTTGGCCAAACCCGATGTTTGACCGTTAACTTGGATGGTTAAACGCGTTGACTAACGGTCAACTTGCCACGTCACTGCCAAGTCAGAAGATCTGATAAATATTTAATTTTTTTCATTTTTTCATTTTTGGTTTAACTAAGGTATTAAATGATTTTTTTAATTTATAATAATTTAAAATTAGGGAATGTGTGGAAATTGTGAATTATTTTTAATATTTTATGCTGACTTGGCAGTGACATGGCACGTTGACTAACGGTCAACGCGTTTGACCGTCCAAGTTAACGGTCAAAAGTCGGATCTGGCCAAATTGTTTATTTTGGTGTATAGTTCGGGCCAGGATGTTATAGATCGAAAAGATTGGCCAGGATGTTTATTTTGGTCAAAGTTCAGGCCATACGAGAATATTAACCCTTATTTGAGATTTGTAAGATTTTCTACCTCCTAAGTTTTAAATGTCTGCTGTCCATATGAAATGCTTCATGCTTTGTATCTCTTAGGTACATGCGTATGTTGCCACTGGGAACAAGAACTCGAAGTTTGGTATCAGAAATGAGAAGCTGCAATGGTTTCTGGATGCTGTTAAGGCACACCCAGATGAGCTTAAGCTTGTTGGCGCCCACTGCCATCTCGGGTCAACAATTACCAAGGTGTGTGTGTAACACATCAAGCTGGTATTAGCCAGTTTATATAGATTTTTTTATTTGAATTCCATATTTGTATGACTTGTCATGTGGAACACGTTCAAACTCATAGTACTTGAACGTGGTACTGTTCTAAGTTGGTCGTAGCTTGTCAATTTCTGCTTCACTCTAATTTTGGGTTTATCATGTCAACTTCAGCTTGTGAGGTCTTCACATTATTTTGGAATGAGATCGCCATGGATTGTCTAAAAATAGCTAGTCCTTTGTTCTTAATTTTTCTTGAATCCTGTACTGGGTCCATGAATTGTATTTGGTATCATCTTACCTTCCACTATTAATCCTTCTTTTTTCTTTCTGTTTTCTATTTAGGTGGACATTTTTAGGGATGCTGCCGTTCTTATGGTCAACTACATTGATGAAATTCGTTCTCAAGGCTTTGAAGTCGATTACCTAAACATTGGAGGTGGTTTGGGCATAGATTACTATCACTCTGGTGCAGTCCTGCCCAAGCCGATGAATCTCATTGACACTGTGAGTATCTCTTAACACTTTACTTTCAAAGGTCAGGTATTCCAGCTCATTGGTCTCACTCCACTTCACTTCAACTACCTATTTCCTATTGTTGCTAGTTTCTCACAAATCTGAATTCATGTTTGTTTCTGTAGGTTCGTGAATTGGTGCTGTCAAGGAATCTCAATCTCATAATTGAACCAGGGAGATCCCTTATTGCCAATACCTGCTGCCTGGTAAATAGGGTAACTGGCGTCAAGACTAATGGAACCAAGAATTTCGTTGTGATAGATGGAAGCATGGCGGAGCTCATCCGTCCTAGTCTGTATGATGCTTATCAGGTAAATAAAACAATCAAGACTAGTTAATTGTTGTGGTTTCGATCACAATATTTGTATACATTCTCATGCCCCTGGCCTATGTGAACAAGAACTTCGCCCTAACAAGTACATTATGTCTCTTTTGTAGCACATAGAGCTAGTGTCTCCTCCACCACCTAATGCAGAGGTGTCAACCTTTGACGTCGTTGGTCCCGTGTGTGAATCAGCTGATTTTCTGGGGAAGGAGAGGGAACTTCCTACCCCGGCCAAGGTAATGTAGTTGTCACACTTCTCACTAACTTTACTTATCCGAGTATCTGTTTGGAGAATAAAATGCATTATGTTGTATCTTTGCAGGGAGCCGGGTTGGTTGTTCATGATGCTGGAGCTTATTGCATGAGCATGGCATCAACATATAATCTCAAGATGCGGCCTCCTGAATACTGGGTACGATTACCATGTCTTATCATCTTACGACTTCAAATACTAGTGAGTAGTGGGAAATGGATGGCATAAGAGATTATTAATTTGTTCTTGAATCTGTGTTTGACTATTCAGGTGGAGGAAGATGGATCAGTATCCAAGATCCGACACGCAGAGACGTTTGAAGACCATATGCGATTCTTCGATGGGCTGTTATCTTGATCTGGCTTCAAGTCATCATGGAAATGGACCGATTATTATAGCTTGTAACCTTTGCATTACCTTGAACACTTCCAAGTTCTGTATCAGGACAAGTTTTGTAATGTAGACCATTTGTGTCGTCCCTAAGGTAGAGACATGTTATTAAACTGTCCCTAGTTAAAAAGAGTTAGCTGTTCTCAGGAAATAAAAAGTAAACTTTGATTCAGATGTATTATGAATGGAGTGGAAAGTACGTTAGAAAAACTTTTTGCTGCTTAACGTGAGAGGTGGAAAGTTTGGTGATTCGTCCGCAAATTTTCGTTAGGTTGCGTCGTTCACTGGAGTAATTAAGTCGTTGAAGTAAGAAGAAGCGCAAAGTTCCATCATCTGTCGTACAAGTGGACGGCCTAGATCAAAGGGCGATGAGTCGATGACGTGACAATTTCTCATTGGTTGGCCCTTGGAAATTTCCCGCCTTTTTGGGTGAAAACAGCCGCGCCGGCACTATCCAGTATCCCGCAATTCTCTGGATTTCTTCTCCTTCTGCTCACTATTCTTCTGCATATTCCTCTCGGATCCAAGGGCCAAAGGCGGGATTTTTTTTCCGCCCTTTTGTCTTCGCTTCTCTACTCTCTCATCTCCATTACTGCTTGCATTCCAAGTGCTGCTTCCCCTGCAAAACCCAAGATTTTTCAGAAACTGAAACCCTAATCACCATCTCTCCCAACTGGAAGTTGTGGCGCGAAGATTCCATTTCTTCGTCTCGCGATTCGGCACCGGATCGGTTGGTACATTTAGTACACAGCTTTTGTTTGCTTTCTTGAGTTTGTTTCTAGAGGTTCCGTGTTCTCGCTGTGGGTTCCTTCGTTGGTGCTAAATGTGGTTGGTGGTAGTTGTTGGTAGATGGCGATGTTTGGATGTTTGGAGTTTGCTTTGTCAGTTTCGTGCTTCAGTTGTCTATTCCTTGCTACTGGCCTCCAAAATTGGCGGTTGAGATTGATATCGTCTCTTGTATCTTACTGAAACTGATGACCAATTCGGCTGCTTTAAGATCTTCGATCAAGTTAGGACTTAGGACATGTGCATTGGTGTACAGAATCTAAATTTGCCTCGTAAGGAACGAAGGGTAACAGTCAATTTCAGAGTAGGACGAGGTTTCGTTGAGGCAGCGTTAGGTCTGCTTTCTTTTTCAGTTTGTGGTTTATGATTTTTGAATGGCTATGGAATTTAGCTGGTCTTGGTTCATTTCTTCCGGTAATGTCTTTTTCCCAGTCATGGTGGATATAGAGGTGATGCTTAAGAGTTTGACTTCCATGTTTTCTTCTACTTTCAGTTCCCACTGCAATTCTGCAAAACTCTGCAGTGCGGTGTGCTCTTTGAGACACTATCGTCTCTCAGTTTCCAGAGGGCCTTCTGCTCGAAGATGGGAGGTGGTGCAGTTCCAAGCCTTTCAAATGGCAATCTTGCTGGACAGCCAGATCCACAGAGGACCTACCAGGTTGTCGTAGCTGCAACTAAGGATTGGGGTATTGGCAAAGACGGGAAATTGCCTTGGAAACTGCCTTCTGATCTCAAGTTCTTCAAAGACATTACCTTGAATACATCTGATGCGGGGAAAAAGAATGCAGTCATAATGGGTAGGAAAACATGGGAAAGCATCCCGCTTCAGCACCGCCCTCTGCCTGGACGTCTTAACGTTGTACTCACTCGTTCTGGGAGCTTTAATATTGCAACTGCTGAGAATGTTGTGATATGCGGAAGCATGAGTTCTGCATTGGAATTATTGGCTGCATCACCTTATTGTCTCTCTATTGAGAAGGTCTTTGTCATTGGAGGTGGCGAAATATTAAGGTTCGTACCCCCCCCCCCCCCCCCCCCCCAACCCAACCCCTCACGTATCGTTGTTATGCTGGTCTCTTTCGTTGCTTCTCCATATTAGTAATTGAGTATTCTTTTGCAGGGAATCTCTTAATGCCTCAAAGTGTGATGCTATCCACATAACAGAAATTCACACCAGCTTTGAATGTGATACTTTCATTCCTGCCATTGATTACTCGGTATTTCAGCCTTGGTATTCATCTCCTCCTGTTGTGGAAAATGGCATACGGTATTGTTTTACAACTTATGCTCGAGTGAGGAGTTCAGTCGTTGACTCCCAGAGTGGATCTGATGCTCAAGTATCTAGTGACGGGGTGGAAAACAGTAAGTTTGAGATAAAGAAGTTCTCGTTCCTCCCTAAAACTGTAATTGAGAAGCATGAGGAGTTCTTGTATTTGAGATTGGTCCAGGACATCTTATCAACTGGCAATTCAAAGGATGACAGGACGCAAACTGGTACTTTATCTAAATTTGGCTGCCAGGTAATCTTCCCAGCAGTGCACCTGGTGTGATTCCCTTTTCTCAACTTGTGATGTAGAGCTAATGATATTTATTGGTTCTGTTTTGTCACAGATGCGGTTCAATCTTCGTAAATCCTTTCCACTTCTGACAACAAAGGCATGTTAATCATTTGTATTTCTGAAAGACATTTGTAATACTGTTTCCTTGTATATTTTTTATGCTTATTATGTTAGTTTTTTTTTTTCCACTGTCCTGCTTTCCCCCCTTTTACTACTTAAACTTATCGCAACAGGCCAATCTAGGAACGTGTTGGATCTCGGACGAAAATTTTCTTCTGATGTATGTTTCATAAATTCTTCCTATTCTGTTATGCAGAAAGTGTTCTGGAGAGGTGTTCTTGAAGAACTTCTTTGGTTCATTAGTGGATCAACCAGTGCCAAGGTGAATACACTCAATTGGCTGTCTTTTCCCTTATTAGTACTGTCCGGAAGTGTGATAGATTCTTCTGCTCTAGACACTGGTGTCGGAGTGGTATAATGATTGCCCTTAATTCACTGGGAAGAAATTCTCACTTTGTAACGTTTGTGGCCTAAATACTCCCGTTACCTTTTATGTGGCTTTAAGATAATGTATCTGCCTGCAGTTCTCAGTCATTTGATTGTTGACAGGTGCTTCAGGACAAAGGAATTCGTATATGGGATGGCAATGCATCAAGGGATTACCTTGATAGGTAAATCCTGTTGGTAGTTTTACTTCTTTACCTTAAGTTCCTCTCCTATCGTGGAAGACTAGATGGTAAATGCCAGCTATGTTACAAACTTCGTAATAACTTTTATATGAAATTCCAGAATTGGATTGAAGGATAGAGAGGAAGGTGATTTGGGCCCCGTATATGGGTTCCAATGGAGGCACTTTGGTGCGAGGTTTGTTCTTTCACTCAGTCTTTCTATACCACGGGTTTTGTTTACATTGATGATCACATGCTTTGTCTTCTTTGGAACCTTTTCATCCAGGTATACTAACATGCATGCGGACTACACTGGCCAAGGTTTTGATCAGCTGTCCGATGTTATTGATAAGATCAAGAACAACCCAAATGACCGTCGTATTATACTCTCAGCTTGGAATCCTGCTGATCTCAAACTTATGGCTCTTCCTCCTTGCCATATGTTTGCTCAGGTTGGTACAAGTACAACCTTGTATTTTCACATCATCCTTATATACGTGCTATGAAAACGCTAATATCATATTTTTCAGTTTTATGTGGCAAATGGGGAGCTGTCATGCCAAATGTATCAGCGTTCTGCTGACATGGGCCTTGGTGTGCCGTTCAACATTGCATCTTATGCGCTCTTGACGTGCATGATTGCTCATGTTTGTGGTATGGTACTAAATTTCTCTCTCTAACATTTCAGTTCTCAGTGTGAATTTTTTGTATTTTGGAAGACAAACATGAATTATCCAATGACTATTAAGTTCGCATATGCGCAACAGAGTATAAGACTGTCTTATTTGTTCCCTTTTTGGGAGCTTGTACAATACATCAGATTAGTTTTCCTAAGGGATATTGGTTCTGGTGGATTTCTGCAGTGTAAGTTATACGTTGTAGATTACCATCCGTGGATAGAAACTCTATTGAAATAAACTTTTAACAACGTTACTTGTTTACTCTATGGGGAGCCTAACTTCCGCCATGTTTATCTTGGCGCAGATCTTGTCCCTGGGGAGTTCGTACATGTGATTGGCGATGCTCATGTATATGTGACTCATGTAAGGCCTCTTGAGGAGCAACTTAAGAAATCACCAAGGCCTTTCCCGGTAAGTGAATAGTGGAAGCAGAACGAGTTACTTTGTTGCTGATAAACTATTTACCGATGATTATTGGAGCTTAACATTTTCATCATGTGGTGTGATTGATCCAGATCTTGAAGATCAATCCAGAGAAGAAAGATATAGACTCTTTCTCAGCATCTGACTTCAAGCTAATAGGCTATGACCCCGAACAGAAGATTGAAATGAAGATGGCAGTTTAAAGCTTTACACAGGCATTAATTTTTATGCTTTTGAAGGCATGCCTGTGCTGATCTTGTTTTTGGTTCTTGGAGTACTTTTTCCTCACCAGAGTCACTCCCTTGCCGCACTTGATGCCAGGGGTTGCTTCCGTGTTCAGGCATTGCTCTGGGGAGGGGTATTACGACGACGAATATTGTGGAAGTGTCAAAATATGAAGTTGGTATGCGTCTTTACGGTGTTTTCCTAATTTTAGTCGTCACATTACTTTTGGACCACCTTGTGATTCTGGTTCTAAGGTGATCAGATTGCTGTGCCTTTTTTGCCTTGTGGGAACTTTACTGTTATTACATGTTTAGCTCTTCCAAGTTATAGTCTTCTTTGTGGAGCCTTACCAGAATTCCACACCCAATTTTACTGTGGCCAACGTAGTTTGGCTTGGCAGAATCCATTTAGTAGGTCTTGTCGTTAGCTGGCTACTTGCTATAAGATTAGGTCAATATTGGTTAGTCAAGTTAGTTATTTTAGTTGCATTGTTAACTATCATCCCACTTACAACAGCAATAGTGCAGGAATAGTTGGGGGAGCATTTCTTTTTGTAATCGAACTAGAATGAACAACAGCGAAATATTTTTCAAAGGCAAGCAAGTATGATAAATTGAACACTCGATAACGTTACGTATGAAATAAAGAACTAACCCTAGTTTTGTCTGTGTAAACATTAGTTACCGTACGTTAGGCCAACTTAATTAGCAGAATATGCCCTTGGAGAGACATCAGCCAGAGAAGCACATAAAGAACATAAAATCTGTACCACTCCATCCTTCGCATGTCAATTTAGCAGGAGGCAAGCTCCATTGCTTATCGAAAGCTGAGAATGAAAGTGTTCTCAACTATGAATGAAGCACAGCTCAAAGAACCCTTTACCCATTAGCCTATGTCCTGGCTTCTTTTTGGAGGGTTCGTTCTCTGCCTTAGCTTTTGATGTCTTGTCAGCCTCAAATGGCTCGCTGGCTCTGGCTCAGGCGACACTGCTGAGTCAGGAATCAGATTTTAGATTAGGCACCGGTTTGAACTTTGAACGAGTGAGAGCTCTTTTCCCTACACAGCGTGGATTGGATTGCCCTCACTCACTCAATTCACTCCAAAAGTATCACTCTTTCTTGCTTTTCGGGTCCCCTGTTCATGTCTGCAAGTTTTTTGAACCATTTGGCCAATGAGCAGTTCTCAGGAATCTTTGAATTATGGGGTTTGTTTCCTTTTTTTCCCCTCCCTCTTTTCTTTGCTCTTCTTATCTCTTTTCTTTTACTTTGTGGAGCAGAATGTGAATACAAATCTACCACCACTTCATGCCATATCTTTTTATCCCATCAAGATGAGAATATCAGTGTCATCATATGCCAAGTTCATGTCCTTTGGAATCCGAATTCTCCTCTCATCAGCAGCCAGCATATTTCAAATTCCCATTAGTTCCAGTAAAGTTTCTCCCACTTTTACAGTTGGATTTATCTAAATCCATTTTGGCTAGGGTCCATTTTCGCAGAAGTTACGGTGAAGATCGATCACTCTTAAATGTAAGCTAATTCGTCGTAGTAGATGAACGGAAGCACAAGATGTTCGATATCTATCGTAAGTGATATTCTTCATAATGACGATAACGAGACCTAAATCAGGTTTCTCGCTGTGCAAAGCTGATACATTTACCACACCAGTATCTAAAACCAACTTTTCCTTTCAACTTGACAAAGAAAACTTGGAAGCTAAAATGGACAAAAACACAACATTTTATAGTCGATGATATTTCTTTTTTTACATTGCGAGTCTGGTTTCGATAGCAATGTACAAACCATTTGATAGGCTCTTCATAAAGCAAGCCAAGCCAAAAGAAGCTCTGGTTTTTTCTTCAACCCACAAATACAGAGACCTCTTCATCTCTTCGGAACCTCTTCTGCCGTTCAATGAAGGCCTCAATCGTGCTCTTGAACTCCTCGCTGCTCATCTTGTCCTCTGGAAACGAACCCTTCTCCTTCTTCTTCGTCTTCACTTCCTCTCCACAACCATTACTCCTCCTGTCGTTGAACTTCTCCGTAACGGATCGCTTCAGTTCCTTCTCAGGCTTGCTCACGATCCAATTAGTAGCAGGAAGTTTCTCCGATTGACTCCTCTCATAACTCTTCACGATCCCCAAGGAAGCAGGGGAAGAACCCTCTTCCCTGACCACAATCTCTGTACTTTTGCTCTGTTTTCTTCTGTGCTCTGTTTCAACCCTCTGTTCCACAGGAGAAGGCTGCTGTGGAACCTTTCCGCTCATTTCCACAAATTCCTGGTAAAGATCAGCTTTTGTGCTCTTCTTTCCCTTCCGGTCTTGGCCCGGAAACTGGCCGGACTTGGTGAAGAGGACTATCACTATGACGTTCCCCACGACGAATACGAACCGCGGGCTGGCGAGAGCGAGGACTACATCCTTGATGTAATCGCCGGAGATCTTGGCGGCAAATGGGAGATGAACTGAGAATCTGGAAACCACGGCCAAAACGACAAGGATTTCCAGCAACCTGAACATGTTTGTGATCTTCTCGATCTTCCTGTGCTTTCGGATCGCCTTTGCTTTCACGGCCTTGATGTTGGTGATGTTGAACGAATCCATCTTCACTCAATCAACTCGAAGCACTAAAAAGAAAAGAACTTTTTTTTAATCTTCTTTACAGGGTTGCAGAAACGAATGTTCTTTCACTCGAGAGCGAATTGGTAACCCAAAGAAACCTTGGTAGCTGCCATCTCTCCGAGCAGGGACAAAACAGAGAAAACCTCTATTCGTGCCTGAGATAGATTCCCAGAAAGCATAGAACTATGTAGCCGAGGAAAAAACAGAGCAGTAGATATTACAAAGGGAAGAACAGGGGAGTGGAGACAGGGGAAAACAGAGGATGCTCTGTTTTCTTTACTTTACTCTTCTTTTTCTTTTTGTTGAGTGGTAGTGTTGCTCTGATTTTGTTGAGCTGTTCCTTGGAAGGTTTAAGTTGTGAGAAGTGAGATATATATAGGAGAAAGGGAGGGTAGGCATATCTTATATGATCACCTTTTTTGTTCTCTAAGTTGGGAACTATAAAATGAAATCTGATTCACTAGTAATTTTTATTTTAAAATTTTCATAGGAAGGTATTGTATTCCCCACATTCCATTTTAGCTTTATTGACAGTGTGCATATTGTGTTGGAATGATTCGATGGTGCGATATCATATGAGGTTAGTATGGTGTGTTATTCGGTTTGATTTCATGATTTCAAATGATTTTTTTTAATGATCGAAAATATTTTTATTAGGATTATTTAGGATATACCTCAAATATGAACCAAACCCATAAATTTAAATTGGCTAATTATGCATGTTGTGGAGGGAGAGGATGCATTTCTTCTTCTTTTCTCCTCTTTTGATCCTTCTTTTCATTGTATTATTGATGGTTTCTGTCTGCTTCTTTTTTCCTGATAAAATATCATCCTGTTGTCTTACAAACTTGCCATAATTAATATTCGAACCACATCAGAAGCTGATTCAGCAGGGCATCTATTGGTGAAGCATAGTGGCAAACAGAATGAATTCACAGTTTCTAGGTTTTCTATCTGAATTCTGCAAAAGTGGAGGGGTTCTGTTCTCCTTTCATCCTATGGGGGTGCAAATAGCTGGCTCCCTTTCCTAATCTGCCCATATTCTTCAAGAATATCCTTACTTGCCAACAGCTCCATTATTATCTAAAATTTCATGGATAATTATTCCCCACTTTGATGATATCTTTGGCCTGCATATATTATCATGCTGGTGCTAGTAACATTAGTTAGGTTAAAAGGATTGTGCATGTTCAGAAGAAGAACGAATCGCAACATGATGCTTATTTACGCCAAACAACTAATACTCGTGCAGTAATGTAGCCGTCTTCACGACCCATAATGGAGCTGGCTTGTTTGGATGGCTTTGATAGATAGTGTGGCTAGTTCCACTCGATGTGCAAATGAGTCGAGTCGAGTTGAGTATTGGCCTAATTTGAGCTCGGCTGATTAATGAGTTCTCGAGCTCTACTCGAGCTTTTGATTCATTAATCAGCTCGCGAGATCGAGTCGAGCTCAAGTATCATATCATTTAGTCCTAAATTTTTAATTATGCATATCATGTTATTTAATAGTAATGAGTATCTAATCAATTTATGATACATAATTTATCTTTTAAATTGTAATGACATATTTGATCACATGCTCAAATTCTTAAACATCATAAATATAATCTAACAAGCCTATGAATTATCAACAAGGCAATGGTAAGCTATTAATCGATTCCCTCAAAAGTTGCTAGTTGACGTGGCTCGCTACCCATGCTGACGAGCCAGTTCATAGCTCAAACCGAGCTTAGCTCACGAGTTGATCTCAACAAATCACCAAGTCTAACTGACTCACACATCTTGTGAGCCAAATAAGATTTAGATCAACCTCGGATCATTAACACACGAGCCGAATGTCCAACGTATTTTTTCCCAAAACTAACGTTGTGCCGCACATCTTGGCTCATTTGCAACCCTACCGGTCCACTAATTAAAACCACTTTGAGAGTAAGAAAATAAAATCGTCGATGTAGTGGAGAAAACAAAAGAAGAAAGTCGTTGAGAATGGGCCGTTAAAGGAGGGCCCTCAAGGAAAAGCCCAGATGGAAGAGCAACCACGTAGCCATTGCCAGATTTTCCTTCAATACTAAGAAACCCAGAGATTAGTGAAGAGACAGAGAGAGCTCTCCCCTAATGCTAATCCCCCTTTGTCCCACCACCACACTTTCTCCTTAATTCTCTTTACCTCCATCTTTTGAGCTTTGAGATCTATCCTGTTAATGCCACTTGCTGCTTAATCTACTGCACTTAGAGGAATTAAACAAATGATTAAGAATCACAGTACAGAAAACCTTAATCAGTATCACCTCTGTCCCTTTCGATCGTTCCCACCAAAAAAGAAACCAGTTTTTTTTTTTTTACGTGCCACCATTGTGTGGAATGTGGATCACTCTGTTTGTTTGTTTTAAACCATATACCATATTAAAGCCAATCAACATCCTGTGAATTGCGAATAAAGATTTGGTTTGATGGTAATTTTATTCGTCTTAAACCTAGATGTTTCATGCTCGAAAACTTCTATGAATTGCCCGGTATGCTGAAAACTTTTTGTTTTTGTCTCTCCTAGATGATTAAGTCAAATTTTGATTAAACATGGAATCAGATTCTGCAACAATATAATTCCAAGTGGAATTCTTTGATAATGGCACTATTGGTTCACTTCAGTTCCTGATAAGTTCCTTCTTCTTCTTCTTCCAACCCCCCATAACTAACCCATCAAGGCAGCTGGTGGAATAATGCTAATAAAAATATATTCTCAAGCATTATATGCTCTTGAAATAATTTAATTGATTACGTCTCTTTATTCTCGATAAAAAGTAAAGAAATTTATACATATAAAAACTACAATATTTAATAAAAATACGAAAACGACTACCCCCATCGTGTTGTTTTGTAAATAAATATTATAAATTTAGGTAGCACACGGTTTAATGAATTTCTAAAAACATAAATCAAATCAAACCCTTTTTCTTTTTGTGGGAATCCAAATAGTTTCTAGAAGAGTTAATGGCCTTCTTAGTCATTGCACTTTGTTCTTTTCAAATAAATTTCTATACCATGTAGTATGTATTCCATTTGGTTTCACTTTACAAACTATGTGTTGTTGTTATTTGAATACAGATTATTTGTTATAGGTTAAAAGTTATTATTTTTCATAGGTTTAAAGTTACAAGGGATGGGCTTCTACACATTTGTTTACTGTTATGTGGGGTAAAATACTTCGGATATAACTAAAGTATAAGAATTGGGGGAGTCATATCACTTAAGTAGGAATGAGTCATCACACTGAACTCAATTATATGTGCATCCAGTACCACTTAAGTTAAGTATTAAGTGCATTCTGTAAAAGTTAACAGAATATTTCATATCACTTAAGTAAGAATAGGGCATCACACTAAACTCAATTATATGTGCACTCAGTACCGCTTAAGTTAAATATTAAGTGCATTCTGTAAAAGTTAACAGAATATTTTTGGAATATTCTGTTTTCTAAATTTCAGAATTGATCTTTCTACTTTTCTTATTGTAAAACACCTTTTGAACTTATGAAAATCGTCTTTTTTTATTGTTTAGTTGGAATCCTCTTTTGAAAACTATAATACCAAACCAACTTTGAGTAGCAAATTTAGAATTAATTATCATTACGTCTTCTAATAATTGAATTATTCCCTAAAGCAAATGCATCCTATGACTTCTGACTCAATATAAGTAATCTGAGGATGTTATATTTAGTTCTCTTATATCATGTTGATGTTGTCTAATTTTCCATTTTAAATCTCCTTGTAATTTTATAATATTATATTATAGATGCTCCATATTTTCTTTTCTAGATATGTTACTGAATATTGTAGCTTTATAGTTTACTTATTTCTTGGTTACTTTTCGTATATTTTCGCTCTATTTTTTTCCAATTTCTGGAATATGTTCAAATCTTTGTGATTGTGTTCCATTTATCTTTCTTTGGTCTTGATGTACTAACGGTCGACTATGTTCTATTTTAACTATTTTTAGTGCTGCTTTTTAATTGAATTAGGAGTTTAAATAGATATTCTAATATTGATTTTAAATATTTATTAGTATTCTCTAGTATTTTTATTATTCCTTCTTGATACTCATTTATTGTTTTTACTAATTTATTTATTTTATTGAAAAAATTTAATTAGCCATTCTAGTAATACTTTTTGTAGAGTTTTTCTAATTTTTATATTAGTTAATACTTATAGTACTATAGTTTTGGATGTTTTTAAAAGTTTTGGGTACCAAAAAGTAATTAAAATTTTGGGTTGGATGGAAGACAGATGCACATTTTGACTACTGTAATGGTACCCGACGCACTATTCAAAGTTAAGTGGTATGTCTACCTCAATTCTCAAACTTAAGTGGTACCCGATGTATTTTATCCCTGTTCTGTGTATGGTATGTAATCTTTTCTTTTCTGGGTTGGGTTAGGTTAGGGCATCTTGATCAGAAGGTACTATATATATATATATATATGATTATATGCCTTCTCAATTTCTGTAATTTTTTTTAAAGTATATTTCAACAAATATATATAATTGGTGCTAATTTGCTTCCATCATTTTCCCCCACCTCGTAAACCGTTCATAAGTCATTGAATTTGTTATTGAATGGTAGATCACACATATATGAATTCAATTGATGATAACAAAATTTCAAAAATTTTATTATTATAATTTTTTTAATTGTGGGTATGGATAATAAAATCACAACATTTAACAAGTGAAAATGATAAGACAGTTGATTATGAATTGATCGAATTGGAGATTTGAGTCTTTGAGTCTGCAATTATCCAACCTACTGACAAAATTCACTTTCCCACAAGAAGGATGCAAACCATCAATAAGCATGATCGTAAATTTTCAATATGATACTTTATCATTGATGGGGAACGGCGTCTTAGGCCGGGCCCATTGATATTATTATTATTATTATTGTTTTATTATTATTATCTGTTGGGATATTCGGTTATTATTCGGGTTATTCGTATTAGTTTGGGTCTAGGATTATTATTACCTATCTTGTTTAGGAAGTATTCGTTTACTTGTTGCTTTGGGTTTGGGTTTCCTTGTCTTAAGGGGAAAGGGGTTTGTAGGATTAGCCCTATAAATATGTACCTTTGCTCTTCGTTTTATGAGGTCGATGAATAAAGTATTAGTAGTTAGTAGAGAAAAGTAGCTCTTTTATAGTGTTTTCTAGTTCTTTCGCTAAATCGTTCGAGATCACCGGTGCGAGAAATCCCGTTCCGCATCAATTGGTATCAGAGCCTGGTTAGGCGCTGAATTCGCAATGCCGATTTTCACGCAACGTCCAGGAGGAGAGGGTTACACGCCTTGGGCACGAACCTACGAGGAAACCCTTCCTCGTCACGTCAATGGCTACCCTAGCTATTGGACGCCGCTACACCCACCGTTGCCGAGGTATTCATCATCGTCACATCACCCGCCTTGGTCATATTCTGATGGACACGTCCGTCAAGACCTGGAGAGCCTAGCCGCCAGGGCTAGAGCTGTCGAAGCAGCTTCGCACCATCCGCCTTGGTCGTACCAACCGTATGTGATTCAGGATCAATCCTCGTGCCTGCCGGGATGGGAGGCGTTGGACTGGAGAAATCAGTGGAATCGTGGAATTCGTAACCACATAGAGGGTTGGGCGGCCGCGGGTCAAGCCTGGGGAGCGACATGGACGACCAAGGATGCTCAAATCGCACGTCCTCAATTCGCAGATGTCGACCAGGGTTGGGTCCGTTCCGATCGTGGTGGAGAAGAAGCACTACAAGATCTCCGTCAACATCAACGAACGGTGGTGGGAATCTTTGATGACTCTTATCGCCAAGGAAACCGGGACACGGAGGAGTCGGTGGAGGTCCAAGGTTCGCTCGTTGGTCAGCTTCAAGGCGAGGGTCACGGCTTACAGGATGTGCCTGAGACGCCGCAACGTGGACAAGCTCGGCTTCAAGTTGAGTTGGAGGAGTTGGAGAGCGAACTCAGTTCCCTCGCGGAAGAGATGGCGACGGTAACAGGTTCGCAGGCCGCTGTTGATCCCAGCGTGACGGGAGAGTTGCTGCGGTCAACGACGAGCAAGGTGGAGCCCGAGTCGCAAGCTGCAGCGAATGGAGGTTGTGGCGGGGATCAATTTCCACCGGCAAGGAACCCGATCATGTCACCTATGAAGTGGCCAATTGTGGTGGCGTCTGCAGCCGTCAAGACAAGCGCCGAAGAGGAGTCTCACCAAGAAGCGGAGTGCGGTGGGGATAAGCCGGGAGGAATCGCCGTCGGGCACAGCTGGGGAGGTTTGGCGAGCGAACATGACGATGACAGGTCGGCAGCTGTGGTAGGGCAGGAATCACGAAGAGCCGGTCCCACTACTGGGCCGCCAAATGTCGTCCGTGGGTCAGAGCTCCGGCCTGCTTCTGTTTCGAAGGACAGGCGGATTCAATTGGTCCTTAGGCCGAGGATGGGCGTAGTAACCGTAGCCTTGTTGTTCGGGGCTCGACCGGCAAAGCAGGGGAATTGTGAAGTCGCTACGGGAACGTCCAAAGTTGGGGGAGTAGGAAAGGCGGCCGATGGTAAAATTCCACGCAGGAGGAGTGAGAGTTCCGAAGCAGAAGACATCATGATTCCCACTCCATGTACGTGTGCGAATGATGATGCTCTTTCACGCAGGAGGATGGATTGTATTAAAAGGGCTGAGTGGTACGCTAATTACATGAAAGAACAGGGAAGGAATATGCGTGGTTCGGTAGGGGAAGCATTGGGATTGCATGAGAATCACATTAACATGGAGGAGCCCTTGGGTCATACATTCATACGTGGCTTTGGTGGAGGATTGCATGGAAGGAATGGTTTGGAGGAAGGAAATTGGTGGATTCCCTTGCGCGGGGAGTTGCATATGACGTGGGGGAGTGAGGTTATGCAAGTTACTGGAGATCACATCACTCATGGTGGAGGGTTGGAACGAGTTGGGATTGGTGGATTCGTTCAAGTCCCGGAACGTAATTGGAAGCGTAGAAAACGAGATCGACAGGCATCCACTCTCTTTGTTGTCATCAACACATGGGAGCGATTCTTCTTTATCGATCCGGGTTGAGATGGCGCCTGAACTTCGGGGACGAAGTTCTTAAAAGGGGGGAGGATTGATGGGGAACGGCGTCTTAGGCCGGGCCCATTGATATTATTATTATTATTATTGTTTTATTATTATTATCTGTTGGGATATTCGGTTATTATTCGGGTTATTCGTATTAGTTTGGGTCTAGGATTATTATTACCTATCTTGTTTAGGAAGTATTCGTTTACTTGTTGCTTTGGGTTTGGGTTTCCTTGTCTTAAGGGGAAAGGGGTTTGTAGGATTAGCCCTATAAATATGTACCTTTGCTCTTCGTTTTATGAGGTCGATGAATAAAGTATTAGTAGTTAGTAGAGAAAAGTAGCTCTTTTATAGTGTTTTCTAGTTCTTTCGCTAAATCGTTCGAGATCACCGGTGCGAGAAATCCCGTTCCGCATCAATCATCTCGTCCATCTCACTCATATGAGACAACAACATTATTCATGTTTTATGGTAGGTTAAGTGAAAATGGACGAGGCCGTTACATGTGGAAAAAAAAAGGCTCTGTCGTTGCTAAAGTGTATGTATGTAACTATAAATCTCACCAAACAAAACGAAAGTGTAATTATAAAAGAGTCATTTAGTTAAAAAATAAAGAGTAATATAGCCCCATTTGGCAGACACAAATAAAGAACAATAATAATTGATTTAGGGGGGCTTTAATACACGAGATTCTGCATCTTTAGTTGAACAAATGGCCCTCCCTTGCTCAATTATTTTCGTGGGGTTTGATAAAAAGAGAACTTTATTAACACAGTTCGTGAGCCTTTAATTTAAGCAGTGTACATGTGTAAAGACTCTCTTTAAATTACAATTAGTAGTGTTGTTGCGAAAAATAATAATATAACCTAGTACTAATTTAATCATTTATTTTTTTAATTTGGATAAACGAATTTTCTCTTCTCTAAGACGGTATGTCTCTCACAATACAATCTATTTATAAATGAACCGATTACATACCCGGGATCGCGGCGTGTTGTCAATAATGCAAGATTATAAAACTATGTACATGTAAAGGCTATGTATGTAATGAGGATTGTACTTGTCATTGGATAAGGCTGATATAGGCTTAGGAGATTTATTTATACATTATCAAGATTTGTGCTCATTAAACTAGACCATAGTGGGTACCATATAGGCACTTAATTAGTTGCTTGATCAATAATTTGATTATATTCGTTAATTACATTGTCAATTTGTACTTTGTAAAGTTGATGGAACATCAAGTTCTGACCCTTTTTTTCTCTCACGACAAATTATATTATTGGGCCATCCTGGGCTTGGGAGTGGAGGCTGATTTGGCTACACGAAGGACAAAGATTCACCCTTATTATTGTAAACAACACTTTTGTCAATTGTCCTTTTATGAATTAAGCTAATGCTAAGACAGCTTTTTATAGTTGGAACTTCGAAGTATTACATACGAGGTTTATGCCTGAATCACTTCGAGTTTACTAAATGTTTGATTGAAGAGCCTGAGGTTGGAAATTGAAACAAAAGATGTGGTTGGAGTAATACCATGCATGTCCTCTATCCATACATTATATATTATTGGTACCGAATACCGATTGTGGTGTCATTGTCTAGCATTTAGATATGCAATGAAAATTTACATCATATTATTGGTCCCGGTAGCGCGCACCTACTCGTCTTCAATTTCAGCAAATTGGAGCCGCAATCCTTCCCACTTTTGGGACCTGCACTTTCTGGATTTATACTGAAGAATCGTTGTAAAAAGAAAGAAGAAATAAAAGCTTGAATTCGATTGTTCTATAAAATAGAAACTCCAGATGGTTTTGTCAAGACGTGAGTTAAGATGAGATGATCTAATGGGCCAAGATTTGCAGTCAAGCCCACAATGCAATGAAACTCGTTTTCCTATAACTGCTTGCAAAAAGACTAAAGCTAAAATGACGAGAAAGCCCAAATTCAATTTAATTAAAACCCTACAACTATCATAAAACGCAGACAACAGGTTTTTCGATCAAGCCTATTCTCTGTGCAAGATTGGACCAAGAACAGAAGAAGAACAGAGTACGAACACAGAAACAAAATGCAGAAATGAAATGAGAGAACACAACCAATTTTTACGTGGTTTCCAGTGTTGAGAGAAATTGAATCTCAACGCTGACTAGTCCACGATCGGAGATTCACAACTTTGTGATCTCCGACAATCTACTAAGGATATATCTTGAAGCTCTTTGGTTTACAAATGAACAGCCCGGTATTTCTCAATACCGACACCTCGATTAACTCCTCGTCAATCGAAACCCGTGTATCCCAACACGTAACCCAAGCTATCTAACCGATGCTTGAACCAAGCAACTCCTCGTATGCTTGAACCCCTTTCCTACCAAAACACTCTTAGCAGCTACTGCTCTCTAGTATTTTGATCTACCGAAAGGTGCCCAGCCTATCTACCAAGAAGTCCCTTTTATAGACTTACAGAATCTGACCGTTGCACAGTGAGCATTCTTTCCATGTTGAGTTGATTCCAAATCTTCCCCATAAATGGTAAGTATCTTTTGATTTGAATCCGCCAGCTACGTACAGGAAGTTCCTTCTTCTTGCTTTCCTCAATCACCGAGAAGATGCGCCCGGAAAGCTTTGCTTAAAAGGTAAGTTTCTCTACCATACATAGTATAAGACCCTTATCTTGTTAATAACACGTTTTCTTCCAACAATCTCCCCCTAAACGTGATGTTAACTATAAGATGACTCTGGCGTTGGACATATGACCATGATATGCTAATGACAAGTTTTATCCCAAGATCCCAACAATCTCCCACTATACTTGATATTAGCGATGCTAACTATGACAGTGCTGGACAAATTAAGGAAACAATGCAGCCTTTAGATCAGATAAGATACACTTCTAAAGACAACCCCATGTTCATCAACCAATTTGATGAATTACTTAACATGTCTAGCCTCATGATCTTCAATTATGAGCAAAGTGATATAAACATCAGCACTTCAGTTTTGCTCCCCCTAAATTAGACCCGTAAGGATCATCTTTGACTTGATCCTTGTCTCTGATCAAAATCACACATGAACTAAGAGTTTATGCAATTTTCTCCCCCTTGATTTTAAGCAAAGAGACACAGAGTTCCTGATTATGCAAGAGTTCTAGGACGTTGCAGCAACTCATATGTAAGTACAAGATCAGTCAAGTAGAGCATGGAATAGTGAGGAAAAGCAAAACTTAGCAATAAACTGAATCATAGTGTAAGAGCATAGAAATGGTCTTGCACTCACAGTTTCTAAACTCAAAATACCTTAGTAGAAGCATTATCCAGCAACTGCAAGAGCGAGCAGAATGCAACCACACTAGCAAAAGCACCAAAGACCTAAAAATGCAGCAACATTGAAATAGCAGGAGATTCTCCCCCTCAAGTTGCTGTCTCGATACAGAAGGAGCTTAGTCTCTCTCTAAGATCGAGCATCTTCCACCAAGTTGTAAGAATTAGAGTGCACTAGCAGTAAGAGATAAATGAGCATAAAAGGAAACATGAGAACATTAGAATAATGCAGCAAAAATGCATGAGGATGTTACAAGAATATCGCCTTCTAAATTTACCATCATGAGTACTTAGGAACACCAAGTAAATCAACACTACATGATTTATCAAAATGCATGGAGCAAGCTGAACCAGTAGATCTATGCGATATACTTCAACCTTAGAATGCTGAAGATAACATGACTTTTGCTTACATGTCCAGTGTCGGGAGCACCCACTGTCAAGAAGCCAAAAACATTCACCAGCTCCCAAAAGCTGAAAGATCAAGCATTACTTTTCTTTCGAACGCAAACCTGTTTGAGTATAGGCTTTTGGATTCGAGGATGCAAAGAAAGTGTCCGATGGCAATTGCTACTAACATGACCAGGTTTTAAGCATGCGAAGCATAAGAAACCAAAGTTGTTGTAGCTATTATGATGATACCATTTATGTTCTAGATTTGGCAAGCTCTTATCGTGATATAACCTATTATGCACATGCTTGTGGTTAAACTTTGAGGTTGAATGAAAGACCTTACTGCTAGCAGCCTTAATAGGATGGACTTGAGGGCGACTTGTGTGATGCTTTCTACCTTTGCTAGACTTTTTAACAGTTGAAACAATGACTGGTTCACTACCAGATGAGAGATCAGAGTTGGATTTATGTTCTAACAGATGGTAGAGATGATTCTTGTCCATTTTAAGGGCAATATTCTCACGTTGCAGCTCGGCCAGTTTAATGTTGTTTAATTCTATGGTTCTAGTAAGATTCGCTACCTCAGAAGTCTTTTTATGGACCTCTTCCTGAAGACAACAACATCTAATCTTTAAGCTACGACACTCATTTTCTAAGTTTCTCAAAGCTGATAAGAAATCGCCAGAATTTATCTTGGACGACTCGGAGTCTGGCTTTACCTCAATATGAGCTAATTTGAAAGACAAATCCTCATCGACATCAGATGCATTTGTTTCACTACCAGTAGTGCACGCCATGTATGCTCTTTCATGAATACTGTCATTATCCAATCTGGATTCAGAGTCACTCCAGGTAGCCACCATTTCACGTTCTTTTGTCTTTGAACTCTGAGGACAGTTTGCACGTATGTGCCCAGATTTACCACATTTATAGCATGTCTGTGATTCCCTTGCCGAAATACCTGCAATTAAATTTCTGGTCTGCTGTTGGGGCAGCCTATCTTTGGAAACAAATTTGTTACAATCATAAGTACTAGACTTGATAAAATCACTCCCACGTTTGTTCTGTTCATTTTTATACTTAAGCATTCTGTGAAATTTCTTACTAACAAGGGAAAATTCTCTATCAAATTCAAGATCAGCATCACTGTCAGAATCATAATCAACAACTTGGGATTTAAAAGCTAAACTTCTCTGACGTTTTTTATCATCTCGACTCACTTGTTTAATAACATGTTCATGGCTGAGGAGAGATCCTATTAACTCATCGATAGGTAAGGTAGACAGATTTTTTGCCTCTTCTATAGCGGTCCTTTTAGGTAGCCATTCCTTAGGTAAAGAACGCAGAATTTTCCTACACAACTCCTTAGATTGAAATGATTGGCCTAGACCCTTTAATTGATTAACCAGAGCAGTGAATCGTGTGTACATATCATGAATACTTTCTCCAGAGTTCATATCAAAGGCTTCATATTCGTGTAATAAGAAGTCTATACGGGTTTCACGAATATTGGCCGTACCTTCGTAGGTGCTCTCGAGAGCAACCCAGATTTCTCTGGCGGTGTCGCACTGCTCCACCCGGGCAACTTCATCAGCTCCCATTGACGACTGCAGGATATGCATCGCCATGCAGTTCAGATGAGCGCTCTTCTTTTGAGCTGCGGACCATGTAGATTGTTGCTCGAAGTTCATCTCGAGCGGGCCGTCACGAACAACCAGCCACAAGTCCTCATCGATTGCCCAGAGGAACGTCTTCATCCTCCTCTTCCAAGCCGTGTAATTCGAGCCAGTGAAGATAGGAGAGGAGTTGAGAGCTGCACGACCAAAATTAGAAGACGCCATGGATCTTTTACTTGGCAGCAGTTAGCTTCGTCAAGCTCCTGCTCTGATACCACTTATTGGTCCCGGTAGCGCGCACCTACTCGTCTTCAATTTCAGCAAATTGGAGCCGCAATCCTTCCCACTTTTGGGACCTGCACTTTCTGGATTTATACTGAAGAATCGTTGTAAAAAGAAAGAAGAAATAAAAGCTTGAATTCGATTGTTCTATAAAATAGAAACTCCAGATGGTTTTGTCAAGACGTGAGTTAAGATGAGATGATCTAATGGGCCAAGATTTGCAGTCAAGCCCACAATGCAATGAAACTCGTTTTCCTATAACTGCTTGCAAAAAGACTAAAGCTAAAATGATGAGAAAGCCCAAATTCAATTTAATTAAAACCCTACAACTATCATAAAACGCAGACAACAGGTTTTTCGATCAAGCCTATTCTCTGTGCAAGATTGGACCAAGAACAGAAGAAGAACAGAGTACGAACACAGAAACAAAATGCAGAAATGAAATGAGAGAACACAACCAATTTTTACGTGGTTTCCAGTGTTGAGAGAAATTGAATCTCAACGCTGACTAGTCCACGATCGGAGATTCACAACTTTGTGATCTCCGACAATCTACTAAGGATATATCTTGAAGCTCTTTGGTTTACAAATGAACAGCCCGGTATTTCTCAATACCGACACCTCGATTAACTCCTCGTCAATCGAAACCCGTGTATCCCAACACGTAACCCAAGCTATCTAACCGATGCTTGAACCAAGCAACTCCTCGTATGCTTGAACCCCTTTCCTACCAAAACACTCTTAGCAGCTACTGCTCTCTAGTATTTTGATCTACCGAAAGGTGCCCAGCCTATCTACCAAGAAGTCCCTTTTATAGACTTACAGAATCTGACCGTTGCACAGTGAGCATTCTTTCCATGTTGAGTTGATTCCAAATCTTCCCCATAAATGGTAAGTATCTTTTGATTTGAATCCGCCAGCTACGTACAGGAAGTTCCTTCTTCTTGCTTTCCTCAATCACCGAGAAGATGCGCCCGGAAAGCTTTGCTTAAAAGGTAAGTTTCTCTACCATACATAGTATAAGACCCTTATCTTGTTAATAACACGTTTTCTTCCAACACATATGTGTGTCACAATTAATTCAGATGGATCAGGTGTACAGAAAGTCGCTATACCAAGTGAACCATTGTTTCATCCGACATGTAGAAATCGGAGGTGTAATCAAAGGTTGGCAAGAGACAAAGTGCTTGCCAAGACCCCCTACATTAATATGAAGAATTGTTTCATCATCCGTACTTAGATTTCAAAGGATATGCATTCAACAGTATTATGCACAAACAATACATATGTTGACAACAACGAAGACCAAATCACACCAACATATGCTAATTAATCTTGTACTTCAATTTCATACCCCTTGTCTAAAGAAAATGGTATATTCGAATTTTAAATATTTTAGCTGTCATTTTGGCTCCCAGAGTCTTATCTGTGCTCTTTGGTTTTCATACTATTCCATAGACAGATGTTTGTTAATGGTTGTTGTAGGACGCACGACGTTATGTTAATTGTTAACTAAGAAGCTACATCAAAACCGACTTTAGCTCAGTTGGTAGAGCGGAGGACTGTAGTTGAAAACAGCGTATCCTTAGGTCGCTGGTTCGAATCCGGCAAGTCGGATTTTTTTATCGCTCCATCGTGGGCCCGTCCATCTTTCTTTAAACGCTATTAATTTTTTTGGGCTGGGCTTTTCATTAATTGAGCCACGGGCCCAGAAACGGAAACCCTAACCAAGCCCCTACTGGCTACTAGTAATCGTTCCAAATAGTACAAAACGTTACCAGAGTATAAACCCTAGAAGATCCAAGATTGCTGCCTGCCTTCCCTTGAGCTCTCAAAGCCGCCGTCTCGCCGAAACCAACACCTCTGCCTTCTCTCGCCGATCTCTCTGTGTTGAGCGCAAATGGTGCGTTTAGCTTCCTAGATCTGCTTCTCTCCATTTTCGCGTACCATGGGATTTGGTATTTGATTGTTGATTCGGGTGTTCTTTTGCAGGCTCCCAAGAAGGATAAGGCCCCGCCGCCGTCATCGAAGCCGGCCAAGTCCGGAGGAGGCAAGCAGAAGAAGAAGAAGTGGAGCAAGGGTAAGCAAAAGGAGAAGGTGAACAACATGGTCCTTTTCGACCAGGGCACCTACGATAAGCTTCTCTCTGAAGCTCCCAAGTACAAGCTCATTACCCCTTCCATCCTCTCCGATCGTTTGAGGGTAATTTTTTTTTCTCCTTTCCCCCCGCTTTATCTTTCTGGTTACTTTTTCCATTCAGCGATGCCTAGTGAAATGGTTGATTGAATGGTGTGCAAGGGATTAGTGAACCGATCCAGTCAGTGTTGGCAGCTTGTTTGTGCTGTTATTATGCTATCAGATTTTCAATCATGGTCGTTGTTGGTTGAATCGGTCACTGTTCTGTATTGTTGTGGCTTATGGTGATTGCTCGATGGATTATGTTAGATAAAGGTGCCTAATTTGCATGCAATTGCTTTCATGTTTGTCCAATTGCTCTGCCCTTGAATTTGAAGATGCAGTTGATTGGATATCCATGATGTTCACCTTGTTGTGTTTGATGCTTCCGTTAACGTTGTACCATTTCACCTGGTATTTGGAATTTGGTTGTGCTGATAGTTGTATTGTGTTTGTCCGCTGAATTTGGTTTTGCTGATAGTGTATTGTGTTTGTCCGCTGAATTTGTGTCTCGAACTTCGAGTTTCGACAATGGGGTCTTTCTGTTTGGTAATTGTTGAATTGGATTGTGCTAATGGATGATTGTGTTTGTCGCGGCTGAGTTTGTGTCTCGAACTTCAAGTTTCGACAATGGGTTTTTTTCTGTTTGGTAATTGTGTGTTGCTCTCATGTAAACATTTCTTTAGCTCATTATCTGTTGTTGGCAACTTGGCATCCGCATCCTTTGGCTGAGTTTGAGTTGTAAATTGGTTTACAGGTGAATGGATCACTTGCCAGGAAGGCCATCAGGGAGCTCATGGCTAAAGGTCTGATCAGGATGGTTTCTGCCCATTCCAGCCAGCAGATCTACACTAGGGCTACCAACACCTAGATTTAGTGTTTCCATCATGTATCTGAAGTTTCAAACTTCATTCGCTTCTTTTGAATCCCAGAAGCTCTATATGTCAAGTAGTTTCAAAGAGTTTATGACCTATTTTATCTAAGGATTGTTGTCGAAGGAATTTTGCTCTTGTTGGTGAAAGTTCATGCAGATGTTGAGCTTTGTTATGGTCTTTAAGCGTCTTCTTTGAGATGATACATGCTGTTAGTTTCCTTTTCCTCGGTGCTGCTCCTTGGTGAACAATGGTATGTTCTCACCTTCATGTTCTCTTTAGTTGGTGATTCATGGTTTAGTTAACCATGAATCGTTCATGTCCCTATAAATATAAGTGGTACTTTCCGGCCAATTCTCCCTAGTCCAAATGACTGTCATTCATTCTTCAGGATAAGAGTCTGGCTCTACCTATCACAGCTTCAATAACTGAGTTCTGATTTGTTACTTCTCTGCTTAGTTACTGACTTCAATGGAGATGGAGAGGCCGGAAGAAGAGTAAAACTAATGTAGAAGTTATGGCACGTAGCCGTAGGTTTGGAAATGGATGAAAATGTCACAATGTTGCGGAAAATAACCCATTGATCATCATCTTACCTGCTTCCATTGTTGGAACTCCACTCCAATTATTGCTGTCACAGTCTGGTGAGTGGGGACCCATGCATATGCTGATATGCAAGCAGGCCCATCGAGAAAACTGTAATAAGTAATCAGATTCGAAGATGGACGGACGGAGGAGAATGAAAGCAAGCAGCTGTTTGTTGATGAAAACGTACGATGATGAAACCACAGAGGCCCATGTGATGCGATGACGGAAAGCAAAGCATCGTCATTTCATTTCCTTCCTGTATACTTCTCCTGCATGCTCTAGCTCTGTCATGTAGCAGCTTATCATGAGGCCCAAGCTTGGACGGATGGACACCAAAGAAAGAGAACGTATCAGCTCAATTTTGCAGTTTCTTCTTTTCCATCACAGCTACAAGGAGAATTATAGTCGTGTCCCTGTGATTACCCTTATCATGTCATCATTCAATTCGTTCATTGCACTGATTGACCTTCAACTACCTCCGTACCCTTCTCGATGTCCTAACATTAACATTAGAGGTGGCAATTAGGATCCAAATCCATGAATCCAATCCAATCCATCCACCAAATTATCCACCTAATCCAATCTATTTAAATCCAATCCATTTGATCCAAATCTAATTGGATTGGTGGATTCATGGATCAATCCATGGATCCAAATGGCAAATTACGATTTGGTACCTATATTTTTTATATTTTACATTTTGGTACCTAAAATTTATATTTTTATACGAAAAATATCATTGGAAAATTACGTTTTGGTACCTAAAATTTTTCATTATGACATTTTAGTACCTAAACTTTTCAAAATTTACATTTTGGTCCAAGCCTTGGATGTTATTTGGATTCATGGATCAATCCACCAATCCATTGGATCCAATCCATGAATCCACCAATCCATTGGATCCAATCCATTTGATCCATGGAGCCACGAATCCAATCCACGAATCCGATCCAATTGCCACCTCTACCTAACATGAACAATGACCCCCCACTCTGCCCCCCTACGCCATCATCTAGCGGCTATATATACCGTCTATTCGATATCGATCTATATTCACGACTTACTTTCACTAGTAAGCCGACGTTTGACCGTGGAGATATTTTTGTTAATCATGACAACGTGGTTTCGATTTATTTGTAGAGCATTTTGGACAATTCGATATCGTATACACATAAGCACATGTTGGCGCATGCATTTTTGCATAGCATCATGTCCAGTTATTCATTTCATATGTGTTCGTATTTTCAGGTGGAGATGGCACATAGTTACCATTGTCATGACTCATATTCCTTCATTTTTAGGGCTGGGAAAACGGTTGGCGGTTTGCGGTTAAACCGACAACCGCACCGAAACCTCGCGGTTATTGGTTAACCGCAAACCGCATATTTGGCCTATTTTGCGGTCGCGGTTGGAGATATGGCCTGTTTTGCGGTTTGCGGTTTAACCGCAACCGAAACCGCAAATCCATATAACCGCAAAGCTAACCGCGAAACCAAACCCAGCCCATAATTCACCCCCAGCCCAGCCCATAATTGACCCCAGCTCAGCCTGGCCAGCAGGCAGCAGCCCAAACCCCCAACCCCCAAACCCGACCCGGCCCTCCCCACTTCTCCCTGCCGACGCCGTCGTTTAAGAAAAATCTAAACCCTTCGTTTAACAATAATTCGTTTCGTCCCTTCCTCCCAGTTCCCACGGGAAACTGAATTATTGAAGTCTGAAAACCCTTCGGAGAATCAGAGTTTCGACTTTCGACCCTTCATCTTCCTTCTTCCCGCTGCGCCTTTGCCATCCGGTCGCCGCCGTCCCTGGACGTCCGGCGTTCACCTGCGACGGTGGGTGAGCTGGCCCTGGCCGTCCGCCGTCCGTCTTCACTCTTCGACTTCAACTCTTCAAGTACTAATAATCAAGCCCCTGCCCTGCGCCCCTGCCCGAGAAAAATACAGAAACAGAGCATATTTGCAGTCATCGCCACCAGAGCATAGCGTCGCTGCGTCCCTCTCCCTCCATCGTCCCGCCCTCTATTCGTCTTCCTCTTCCTCTAGTTCGCGGTTAATTGTCGGTTAGAGTGCTAACTGCGGTTTCATATGGTGTTTCGGTTGTTGCGGTTTTCACAACCATAAACCGCGGTTCACCGCTAACCGCGTTTTGCGGTTTTTGGTTAACCGCTAACCGTTGCGGTCACGGTCGCGGTTGGCCAATATAGGTGTTTTGCGGTTGCAGTTAACCGCAAATTGCGGTGCAGTTAACCGCAACCGCACCGTTTCCCACCCCTATTCATTTTCTAGCTAGTGTAAATCTCTTAAACTATCTTATTGACACTTTTTAGATCGTACGAGTTTAAATTTCGGTGGATTTCGTGCTTGTTCCCCCCCCCCCCCCCCTAATCTGTTCAGTACAATAATGTGATTTCACGATTTAAAACTACTTAGCTTTCATTAGCTCGTTGGATGAGAATTGTCAAAACTTGAGACGATCTTTTTGTTGTTAGGATTATATGATCGTATCTTTGTATGTAAGATACAAAGTGAAGACAATAAGTGATCTCAAACCAAATAAATTGGATTGATTTCACTTTGAAAAAATATGTGAATGTCAAGAGATTATCATGTTTTGGGTATACATTCAATGAATGAATGAATTAGACACATTTATACCCCTCCATTGGGATGTTCCAAGTTCCAACAAACAATAAAACCAAACCAATAAGAAGTAGGAGTAGGACAACAGCAAGCTTCTCCCTGCCAAGTGCCAAGCAGCAAGTGAGCAGACAGTGATATTTTAGGGTTTGGTGAGATTTAGTGGGGAGACCACGTGGGCCTAGAGATGGAATATCACATGGCTGGTGGGCTTTCTCTGCCGAATCTATAGCATTGAGAGCCGTCCATTTGTGTTAGGCAGCTGCGTCTATGTGCGTCCAAACTCTTCAATTCATTATTGGGCTTCCATGGGCCCTACCAATGTTACTTATTCATCTAATCAAGTTTCGGCTACTGCAACAATCTATCATTCATGGTATTAATGACCCTCATGTTTTGGAGACTTTGGCATTAAGGGACTGCATTCAGGAATGTATCCACAAGAATCTTCCTTCTGTGCTGATCACGGGCGATGCAAAGCTAATCATCGACAAATGTTTGGCTCAAGACTTTGATGATGCAAAGGTGGGTGCAATTCTGCGGGAAATAGCGTCGTTAATGGTGGATGTAACTTTGTCTTGCGTTTTATGGGACGGGATCGAAACAGGGAGGCTTATTTAGTGGCCAGAAAATCCCTGATTTTGTCACCTCGGTTTCTAGCGAGGTTCGACTTCGTGTCTTGGCTTCGTAGTTTGTAAAAACTCTGTATTGATCTTATCTTTCCTCTTTTTAAGAATGATTAAATGGCAAAAAAAAAAATCTCATTCCCCTCTAAATTCGAATCAGGTATGAAGAGCTCCTAGTCCTAGGTTATGGTTGTAGTGATAGATATTCTTATTGATAAAAAGAAAAGTTCATACCAATTAGGTCTATGCTCAGCTAAAATTTTAAATAAGTTGGTTGAAATTGGTGATTCAATGTGCTGAACATGAAACTTCCTTGAAGAAAAAAAAAATCATTTGCAAACGTCAATAGTTGTTACCAAAGAGAGCTATGACAACGATTCAGCTTTCTCCTCGTATGTAATGAAGAGCCAGCCCAATTGCGAAAGTTCACTTAGCAGAAAAGATCGTACCAAGCTCCAACAAATATTACCACAAACGAGATTTTGTTGGTAGCTATTGAAATTCGTATAAAATTACTCAGATTTCTTACACAATGTTGTCATTTCGCTTGTCTAACAGGTATGTGAGCCAATATCATGATATATCAATATAAATAGCGAGTAAAAAATCCAAATCAAACTCGAGCCTCGTAATCGCCTCGAATATATTCTTTTTTGCACTATTATATCACTAGGCTAGAGGAGCAATTGAAAAGAATAGTTAGAGAAAAATGGGCTAATTGAGCTTTGTGTGACTGAAAATTAGACTAACCAACGGCTCTCGTTAAGCTCCTCTAGCAATAACTCCAGTGCAGCCCCACTAGATCTTCTCTGTTTGTTGTTTAATTTGCCAACTTCACAATAAAAGAAAATCGGATTGTGACGGTGGGCAAGAACCGCGGTGTCATTTTCATCTGATTTCTCTGCAAAACCCATGCATTAATTAATACTTAAATAGAGGTGCCTAGAAACCTGGAAACCTCACAAGATCGCAGCACACTCTTCCAAAAACTGCTGGGAAGCAAGCAAGTCAATTCCCTCACTTCCATTCTGTCAATATAAAATCACAGGAATAAAGGAAAAACAATCAATTAATCCCCTTTGAAAAGCAAAAGTTGCAGGATTTCTCGTGAGGGATCACAGGAGGCTAGCCAGCCATAAATTGAAGCCCATCACTCACCACCAGCTTCAGCATCTCATTCACGCACTTCCATCACTTCCCCAGTTTCTACTGACGGTCTCAAATCAAACAGTTACTTTGATTGGGTTCTAGAAGCTAGCTTGGCTGCGCTGGTGGGGTGATTGAATCTTCTGAATCATCCTTTTGGTTAGTTCTGATTCCTCTTTTTGCATTCTACCTCCATTCTGTTGCTCATTTGCATGCTCAACTTTGTTGGGTCGAAGTGTTCTTATTTCTGGGTAAGCTAAAGTTGTGATCTTTCTGAACTTCTGCAACTTGGGTATTGATCAGCATGATTCTAGCTTTCCTGGGTTTGCATTACCATTCCATGAGTGACTGATGAGTGCAGCTTCAGCATGTGGAGGAGTACACAGTGGAAAAAATTGCTAACTTCTTTTTTCCTACTTTATGTGATCTGCAATTTACTTGGTTACTTCTTTTGGAGCTGATTTCCTTTATCGGGATCCGTTGCCCTTCTTTAATTTGTGATGAAATTGCAAGATTTCCTCTAGATTGTGATTCATTTCTCCTTCTGGGTTTTGCTTAGAGAGAAGGAGAGAGGTAGAGAGAGTTAGGTTGCTCTTCTGCTGAAATGGGTTCCTTGGAAGCCAGTACCCTTCTGGTAAACAAAGAGTTTTTGGGTGAAAAGATTAGAGGAAGTTTGCACAACGAAGTTTTCAGTCTACCGAGCGAGCAGCTGAAGAAGTCCGAGATGAATAAGGCCAATCCTGGTGTAGCCTTCTCAGTTTTAACTTCAAGCAACGGCCGAGGAACTGTGGTAATGCTCACTCAAAACTGTTTCTATACTGTTCTTCTGCTGTTCTCTGTGTTATTACTGGTTTGATGTGGGTGATATTTGTTTGTTTTCCAAACGGACGACCTCTTCTACGTTAGACCTTACAACCACAGCCAAAGCTGGAGAGAAAGAGAGTGGATCCGAAAGATGTGGCTTCAGTAATACTTGGAGGAGGCGCAGGGGCTCAGTTGTTTCCTCTCACCAAAAGGGCTGCAACTCCAGCTGTAATAAGCGTGCCTTCCTTCTTTTCCTTTTCCCTTGCTGAAATTTGGATTAGCAAAGGGAGGTTTTTCTTTCTTTTGTTTGACTTGGCAGTTGGTTGGGTTTTGTGAAAAATAGGTACCAGTAGGTGGATGCTACAGGTTGATAGATGTTCCAATGAGCAACTGCATCAACAGTGGGATAAACAAGATCTTTGTGCTGACACAGTTCAATTCGACATCACTCAATAGACACTTAGCTCGCACTTACTTTGGAAATGGTATCAACTTTGGGGATGGATTTGTGGAGGTTCTAGCAGCAACTCAAACTGCTGGGGAAGCAGGCTTGAATTGGTTCCAAGGAACTGCTGATGCTGTCAGGCAATTCATATGGGTGTTTGAGGTGAATATTGCTGCAAAAAAAAAAAAAAACCCCAATCCTTCTGTATTAGGATACACCTGACCCTGAAAATTTATCCACTTTTTTGTAGGATGCAAAGAACAGGAATGTCGAGAATATAGTAATCTTGTGTGGCGATCATCTCTATCGAATGGATTACATGGATTTTGTGCAGGTAATTCGCCATTACATTTGTTCGTGGAACTGAAATTTCTTCTTTTATTTTTGGCCTGTTTTCTTAACAGTTTGTTATGCACTCAACAGCAACATGTTGACAGCAATGCGGATATCACCATTTCATGTGCAGCAGTTGGTGAAAGGTTGGATCTTCCACACAGTTTCTCCTGAGTTGACTTTCGATCCATTGTTTAGGCTCAAATCTGACATTAGGTGAATACTTTGGCAGCCGTGCTTCGGATTATGGGCTGGTGAAATTAGACAGCAGGGGTAGAGTTATTCAGTTTGCTGAGAAGCCAAAGGGTGCTGACCTCAAAGCAATGGTAAGTTCTGCCTTCCATTTAGAAGAATGTCATACTAATTAAAGGCGGCCATTTACATACTTAATCCTTGTGCTTTTTAGTCCCTATTGACAGTGAGTGATTCCCGATGTTGCTATGTTTTCCCCAGCGAGTGGATACGACTCATGTAGGTTTGTCTCAGCAAGAAGCCAAGCAGTCACCGTATATTGCATCAATGGGAGTCTATGTGTTCAAGACAGACGTTCTGTTGAAACTTCTGAGGTGGAGATTTCCAACAGCAAACGACTTTGGCTCTGAAATCATCCCTGCAGCTGTCATGGAGCATGTAGTTAATGTAAGTTAAAACATAAGAAAGAACAGCTGCTGCATGTTTTCTTTCAGCAGAAAGGAATAATCAATTCCTAAGTTCCCTACTTTTGACAGGCATACATGTTCAGAGACTACTGGGAGGATATAGGAACAATCAAGTCATTCTATGAAGCTAACTTGGCTCTCACCGAAGAGGTAGGATTGTTTAAACTTTGAACGTTCCTAATTTTCCACTTTTGGTGTCCCATGAGCTGAACTAGTATGAATATGTCTCGGTGCAGACTCCGATGTTTGAGTTTTATGACCCCCAGAAACCCATTTACACATCTCCAACGTTCTTGCCACCAACCAAAATCGATCAATCCCGGGTATGGCCACTGCTGATCATCAGCCCCTTTTGCTGTTACACATATATGGGTTGTCCTTGGCTTCTAATTCATGTTGTCTGTTGTTTTCTTTTTGTAGATTGTGGATGCAATAATCTCGCACGGTTGTTTCTTAAGAGAATGTTCTGTCAAGCATTCAGTTGTTGGTGAGAGATCTCGTCTTGATTCTGGTGTAGAACTAGTGGTGAGTGCCCTTAAGAGTGTCTTGAAAGATTAGTTGCTACCATTTCATGAAGAAAGGTTTAACAACTCATTTTATCTGAATGTTCAGGACACTGTGATGTTAGGAGCAGATTACTACCAAACTGAAGCTGAGATAGCATCTCTTCTGGCAGACGGGAAAGTCCCTATTGGCGTTGGGAGGAACACCAAAATAAGGTTAAATTTCTTGTCAATCTATAATCCAGCACCACAAGGATTCAAAAATGGATTATTGAAACGAAGTTGGTTTGTGCAGGAATTGCATGATTGATAAGAATGCAAAGATAGGGAAAGATGTGGTGATCATGAACACAGATGTAAGTTTCAAAGTTGACTCTTCTCAGTAATCAAAGTATACATCTTTCGCAGACACTGCTCTCTGAATCTGTTGTGACGACCTTTTGCAGGGTGTTGAAGAAGCTGACAGGCCAGAAATGGGATTCTACATTCGGTCCGGAATCACAATTGTCGCTGAGAAGGCGACGATCGAGGATGGAACCGTCATATAAATATCCTGGTTCTGAAGTGTGATGTGAGAGGACAATCCAGAAAGTGGTCGTTGGTGCTTCTTTCAGAGGAAAGGTCGCAGTAGGTTTTGGAAATGGCAGCAAAGGAAAACCCTGATCAGAAGAAGCAAAGCATGGCAGGAACTTGATGTACAAGTAATGTAAAATAGAACCAAGCTCTTTCCTCCCCACATTAAAGTGGGGTCCATTTTGGCCACCCAAGCTGAAAGTTTAGTGAAAGAGAGCTAGAGAAGTAGACAGAGAACAGCTTTGGAGATGAGAGTTGGGATCTTTGTTTATGGATATATGAAACATAAATAACATACAGGACTGCATCAGCTTGAACTATCCCCTCTTATTATGTAATTTCAGATGGATATGGTTAATAAAAGGTTCTTGAATATGCAAACTTTGCAGACTACTGTTGTTGCCCAAAACCTCTGACTAGTTCCTTTCTGAAGGATCATAGTGCAATCACATATGTATTTTCAATCGTTAAATCAACCATCCATGTGCTCACCAATTCCAACATTCTATCCAATTCCAGTGTCAGGAGGACCTAACTAGATATGATCCCAGAAAACAGAACAGAACCGACCAGGAAAAAAGAACACACAAATGCAGGAAGCAAAGAAGATGATGGAGGTTCCAGAAAACCACGGAATCAAGAACCCAGATGCCCCAAGCGCAGTGGATTCCAACTTCATCACAGATCTCAAACAGACTCAACAGCTCGATTCAGGGGCCGCCCTTCAGTCATTTCTCGATCACATTCCCATCAGTTCCATCCCTGGAATTCAAAACTCTCCTGGTAACTAACTAACTTCCTCCTACTACTACCACAATGAACACAACGATGGTGATTATCTCAATCCTTTTGATTTCTCAGTTTCGGAGGTGAAAGCTGGAGACACGGTGAAACAAGCGCTGGATATCTTGTATCGGAAGAACGTGTTCGGCGCTCCAATCGCCGACTCCAGCGACCCTGAAAACATCACCGACAGGGCTTCCGATCGCTACATGGGTTTCATTGATTTCGCCAGGATGCTTCTTTGGTGTCTCCATAAATCCGAAAAGCTTCACGCCAAACCCACCACTGATTTCGACAGCATTTCTACAATGCTCCACAAGAATCCTGAAATCGCAGACACGAAGGTGGGAGAGCTTGCAAAGTCATTTCTTTGGGATCCGTTTTTCCCAGTTCATCCGGAGGATACTCTGTTTCATGTCCTTCTGCTTCTTTGCAAGCACCAGCTCCAAGCTGTTCCCGTTGTAGAGGAGTCTGAACTTCAAGTCATAGGCTTTGTCACCAAGGTCACTGAAAAGGCCCTTCCTTGTTTTTTCTCTAATTTCCTTCATCCAATATTTTCCTGATTAATTGGTTGATTATAAGTGTTTGGCAAAATGCAGTGATCCACTTGCTGCTTCAATCAACCGGGCTCGAATGGTTCGACGCCATTGCTGACAAGCCGTTATCAGACTACTGCCGGTATTACGCCCACCACACTCGAGATTTACATTTCCCCCTTCTTGATGCCATTGAATTAGAGCTGTTGTTTTCACAGAGAAGAGCATCTGGTCACTGTGTATGGAGACCAAAGCTTAACGGAAGCTCTTCACCTACTATGGGGAACACAAATCGGTGTCATCGCTGTAGTGAGCCGAGCAAATGAGAAGGTCATTGGCTGCATCAGGAACAGTGACGTCTATCTCCTTTTAGAGAATGATGACCTATTCAGCAACAGGAAGTAGGTTTAGTTTTCCCCACTTATCTCTTTCACCACAGGTGGAACAGAGTTCAAGCAAAGCTTTTTTTAACTTGTAAAATTCACAGGAGCATAACAGCAGAGGAGTTCATTCATACAGAAAGAAATGAGAATGCAGATTGTGATCCTACCATTCAGAGAGACTTAGGAGCGTTGCTTTCGGCCGGAACGCTGAAACTGAAGAACAACTTTCTACCAAAGATGGATTCAGTAGTTGCCAACAAGAGAAGTGACACCCTGAAGCAGGAGATGATGAAGTTATCTGAGACAAACAGCAGTTTCAGCTTCATTGTTGATCAATCGATGCGGCCCACTGGGATTCTCCTGTCTCGGGATGTCATTGTTCAGTTTGCTCCACCAGGCATGGATTCAAGCTTTCAAGGAGAAGGGTTCTTTGAGTTTGCGCTTGAGCAAGCTGGTTGTCAGGAGAAGAATGGCGCTGTTATTTGTGACCATCAATCTTCTTCCAGTAGACTTATCAAAGCAACAACTGACAGTGCATCTTAAAAATCTAGAGCAAGCAGGAAAAGTAGGAGAGAAATGAGAAGCGCTTGAGCAAGCTGGTTGCCAGGAGACTTATCAAAGCAACAACTGACAGTGCATCTTAAACAGCTAGAGCAAGCAGGAAAAGTAGGAGAGAAATGAGAAGCGATTTCATGAGATTCCATGGACTTCAGTTGAACTTTCCAAGTCATTTATTCTTGTAAACCAGCAGAAGTATACCTGCGGCTTGAATTTATAAGAAATCGACTGATACAGAATTTCTGATCGCTGATCCAAAACATCATGGGTGCCTAACAAAATTCAGATTCAGGGAGTGGAATGGGAAATTCATTACAGAAAGACTGTACCTTTCCCCGCCCTTTTGTTAACCCCATAACTGAACTTCACTGGTTCTCTTTAGAGTACTATAAAGAGCCAATCCTGAAGTCAATAATGTCTTCCAATTGACAGCATCATTGACCCACAAGCCACAAGAGAGAACTGGCAAGGGTCTGCAAACTGGTCAGCTTACACGTTTTATTCCATAATATCTAGTCTACCTTTTGGAGGCGGCTCATCTCAATAGCCCTTGTTACTCCAAAGTACGAGAGAACCCCGTTTCCTGAATTCACATGGACGAAAACCGGTCATAGCCTTTCCCATGAGTGCCATAGCAGCTATGCTTGCAAACTGCTTCCGAGGCAAGTCATCTGCTGCTCCCCACTTAGCAGCTCGTGATTCACTAGACATCACACAATCGGGCTTCCTTGCAAGAGAAGTAACTGGACCGTGACACCACCGTCGTATCCAAGGATGTGAGTGGATTGCGTCTAGTGTTTTCCCCTCGGAGTTAGCGAAAGAAGCTTCAGTTTTCCTTACTAACTCTGTTGGACAGTCATTACCACGAAGATCTTCACAATGAGGCTCGCTTATCTTCTTTGGTTCTGAACTTGCCTGACCACATTTGAGCATTTTGCTGAAGATTCTTGTCGCTTTTTTATTGGAGGCTTCCGCCAAGTTACAGGCAACAAGATCTGATGACGCACTTGGCTTTAGACGTTTAACCCATCGCCTGCAAGGATCCAGGCCCACCGGGTCTGGTAAAGCACTAGACTTCCAATTTGTGGGGTTGTCAGCAAGGAGAGGCCAGCAGTCACCATCCAAACTTTGGGTTATTGAGGTGCTTGTCTGCTTAGTACCATCTGCTGTCCCTGGCACATCCGGAAGCACATGGAATACTTCGTTGATATCGGGCAACTGTGTTTCTAAGGTTCTACCTCTAACTTCTTGGCTGACTGAAGCAATCATTGCATCTTGAGATATAGGTGATTTTTGCCCACCGTTCATGTCCTACAGAATTCACAGGGATATAAGACTGAGAACAGCTACTACAATAGTACAATTACTTACTACTACTGCACTACAAGAAGAGAATTCACAGGGATATAAGACTGAGAACAGCTACTACAATTACTTACTACTACAAGAAGGAAGATAAATAACATTATACTTTACCTTACTCGATGGAGGCGATCCCAAACCTGCAAAAGAAGCATGCAAAAACTTTCTCAGGGCTGCGACAATAGGAATCATTTAAGAGTCCAATAAGACATATTACAATCATTCATAATATAATATCTGCAGTAGATACATACCAAGGACATGGTTTTGTCCAAAAGCATCCATGCCCATAGTCTTGTTCTCAAAAGACGATCCTTTCTTTGAACCAGGTACAGAATTCTTGACATTCTCACTTTCTTCTTGTCCCTTGCTTTCTCTAGAACTCTCAAGTGGTTGCAGCTTCACTCCTTGGTTACCATGGGAGCAATAGTCCGGTGCTAAACCAAATGATTCATCTAATGCTTTTCCTTTGAACTTTGTAAATATTGATGGCTGGTGGAACATCTGACCTTCATCTGGTAAGGTCAGATCAGTATTCTTTGTGATGAAGAAGCGGTGAGTTGTATGTAAAAACTTTGAGCAACTGGCAGAAAAATCGGTTACAGAATCGATAGTAGTATGTACTCTCATAGCCTGTACATCATGCACAGAAGAAGAGGGCGTTCCTGGTACAGGGGGCCTATTCCGGAAGCTAAAATATCCAGAATCAGAATTCTGAGGCATCTTGAGGAATGGTTCAGCAACAAAGCCTCTTCCCTCATTCTTGCTGATAGAGGTGTCATGAACTAAAAGAGTACCATCAGGATCCATTTTCTTCATGTGATCCCAAAAAGAACTGCTTGGTCGATTCAAATTCTCCTGCTCGCGGGAAGAAGATTGTGACCTACTCCTTTGTCTGTCAAACTCAAACGGAACAATCTGAGAAGTGGTGCCAGGAAAGTAGGCATCTGAACGTATAGAAAGACCGAACCCATACTTCTCTGAAAGTCCATTACTACACTTCTGAGGCTTTTGTCCACTTGATCGAGTTTCCATTTGGCTAGTAGTAAACCACGGAGTTGATCCAGGTAACTTGATCTCCACTCTACTCGTTGAAGGATCCAGTCTAGGTACGGGGCTTGATACATGTGCACTATCAAACCTCTTTTTAGTTGGAGGCAGATCAACCTCAAGCTCCCGAGAACAACCTAGCATCAAAGAAGGCTGGCCTTCAGAAGGTTCATTCCTAAACCGTTCCAAACCCAATGTCGTACTCCCCTTCACAGAATCCACCATTTTGCGCTTTCCCACGTTCTCACGCCAATTAAGCAGAGGATTGAACTTCACGCCAGGGCTGTCCTCTTCACTGACCTCAGTACTTGCTGATAATGGAGTGGGTTGTGGCGCTCCATTTGCCAACCCATAATTCCTAGGCATCCAATGAGCTATCCATGCAGATTGAGACTGAAACGGCTGCTGTCCCGTCCCACTTTCAGACATTTCCTCCTTCCCGTGGGATGATCGTGCAGTCGGATTAGACATTCCCAATACCAGAACCTACCCGGCAACCAGCTCGAATGGCAACACAAAACTTCAAGGGTTCTTCAAAATTCACCTGAAGAATCCAATTCGCTGAGTGATATTTAGACCCAAAACTCTGGTAAAGAAAGCCGAGAAACGAAACCCAAATGCTAATTTTGGCAATTCATCGATGAGTGGCCTTATTTCTCCATGTGGAGCTGGGGACCGAGCTCAGACGACTCGAACGTACGAAAGAAAAGGTCCCAACTTTAAGTTCAATTATGGAAGGAAATGAATGACCAGACCAAAAGAAAAGGCGGCAGGTAGCTAACCAAGTGAAAGCCAGCAGGTGGAAGGATCTCGGAGTTGGAGTAGGGAGGATCGGGAACCGGGGAACCAGCCGGCGGGAGTGTCTGGAGAGGAGCCTCTGATTACTTAACTTCTTGGTTTCACGAAATCCGAATCCCTAAAATTTCTCCGACTACATAATTTCTTAGTGCCGAAGCTAATGGGAGAGAGAAAAATATCCAGAGGAGGGAGAAAATTGAATTGCATAACATGGGGAATGAACAAAAAAAGGTTCCTTCTGGTTGAGCCTCCCCCATTTTCTTTTCCTTTATCGCGTTTCCCACTCTCCTTTCCTTTTTAATTGAATAATAATAGTGCGATTGATTGGCGCAGACCAGACAGCCACATTTGGGGAAGAAAGACGACGAAGACGATGATGAATGAATGGGAGGAGGAGTGTGACCCCATTCCCTTCCATACGTTGTACCTCCACGTTATGGTGGCGACTTGCGACGTTATGTCTGTTACACTTACGCGCCACCGTTGTATCGAGACGGTGTCGTTTTATTCTTATGCTGGTCAACTGCCCACAAGTCATCGTATCCATTCCTCTCCATTTTGCCCCGCGACGAAGACAAATTCTTCCTTCCTCTTAAACCATAGCTAAACCCCTTTCCCAGTCCGCCACCGCAGCTCCGAGCCAGAGCCCTCCGCCGCCATGGGTAAAGTGAAGGGAAAGCATCGTTTGGATAAATACTACCATCTCGCCAAGGAGCACGGTTACCGGTCTCGTGCCTCGTGGAAGCTGGTCCAGCTCGATTCCAAGTTCAAGTTCCTCCACTCCTCGCGCGCCGTTCTCGATCTCTGCGCCGCTCCCGGAGGATGGATGCAGGTCGCCGTCGAGAGGGTCCCCGTCGGGAGCCTGGTTCTCGGTATCGATTTGGTCAGAATCGCTCCCCTACGTGGCGCCATATCCATCGAGCAGGACATCACGAAGCCAGAGTGCAGGGTCAAGGTTAAGAAGATTATGGGCGATAATGGGGTTAAAGCTTTCGACTTGGTTTTGCACGATGGTTCCCCGAATGTCGGTGGTGCGTGGTCGCAAGAGGCGATGTCTCAGAATGCTTTGGTTATCGATGCTGTGAAATTGGCCACGCAGTTCCTGGCTCCCAAAGGAAATTTCGTCACTAAAGTGAGCTTTTTTCCCCAGGCTATTCATTTACGAATTTGGGAATTGTTAGGGAATGAATCAGTAGTCTACTCTGTGGAGTGAACTAATGTAGGGAATGAATCATTTAGCTGATGTGGTTTTGTGTGGTAGGTTTTCAGGTCACAAGATTACAGTTCCGTTATCTACTGCTTAAACCAGGTGAATGTCTTCTACTTTTATCAAAGAATTGTGGACATGATATTGATGTTCTGATTCTAATGAAAATGTTATTTTCTCAGTTATTTGAAAAGGTTGAGGTGGACAAACCATTAGCCAGTCGTTCAGCATCTGCAGAAATCTTTGTGCTCGGACTGAAGTACAAAGCACCTGCAAAGATCGATCCTCGTCTGCTTGATTTTAAGCATCTGTTTCAGGGATCAGTAGAACCTGTAAGAAAGGTAATTATCCTTAGAGAGGCTATGCTTTTGGGTTCAATCCAGCTTTGCCAGTCATCTGTATCTGTTTTTGGTTTGAACAGTTTGATGATTTCTTGTCTGGATTAACTCCGGGAACAGGCTCTAGATCCCCTGAGAGGAACAAAGCAAAAGCGTCATCGTGATGGGTAAGCCAATGTTATTTTATGGATGGTTGCTGCCTGCTGGTGCTGTGGATTCTTGGAGTCTAGTAAAAGAAATTTTGTTTCGTTTCAGGTATGAAGATGGACAGGCTATGGTGCGGAAAGTGTCTTCAGCTGCTGATTTTATCTGGTCCGCAACACCTCTAGATGTCCTTGGTTCGGTTACTTCAATTACATTTGAGGACCCAGATTCTGTACGCATAAAGGATCTTGAGTTAACAACAGAAGAGGTGGCTTAATTTCTTCTTATTTGCATAGTCCAGTTTGTGGGTGCATTCACTCTATAGATCTTCCATCTGAATACTGTCTGCTTCTATGGCCAGGTCAAATCCCTTTGTGATGATCTTCGTGTTTTGGGAAAGCAAGACTTCAAGCATCTACTGAAGTAAGATCCTGTTTTTGTAATCACTAGTGAATTAGGGAGTTCAATTCTGTTCCCATATAGAGAGCTAAGCTTCTCTCCTTCCTTTCCCCTATAGTAATGATATATTCTTGGACGTTCATTTGTATCATGCAGGTGGCGAATGCAGATAAGAAAGGCTCTGTCCCCTTCTGCAGAAGCTAGTCCTGCTGTTGCTGAGAGCGAAGAAAAGAAAGAGGTGGATGAAGATGATAGGTTGCTTAATGAAATGGAGGAGTTGACAGATGCTATGGAGAGGAAGAAGAAACGTGAGAAGAAAATACTTGCTAAAAGACGGGCAAAGGTTTGTACAATCATGTTCATAAAGGATCATAGCCATACCTTGGTAGCTTAAAATTAGTTGGAATCATGGTTATGAACACACACAGATAAATGTTAGGTGGTAGTTTGGGCACTGGTTCCATTTACTGATAGACAAAGTATTCCAAGTGCTGAGCCCATGTCAATTCAATGGACCTGCTTTATTGAGTTCCTCTAGATTCTAGAAGCTACTTGAGTTTGAACTTCTTAGTTCTTATGTCTGCTATTTTCAATTTAGATCCTTCAGACCCTAGGTTTGTCGAAGACTTAATGAAGTTATCATTATGTTATGTCTATGTTGTGGAAGCTGATGCAAGCATTTTCTGCTGACTTGCAGGACAAGGCTCGGAAAGCAATAGGAATGACAATGGATGTACTTGAAGATGGCTATAATGATATTGAGTTATTTTCTCTTTCGTCTATCAAGGTTAGCGGCACATTTCAACCCTTATCCTCTCTCATAGTCTCATATCAGGCAACATTTCAAACTATGTAGTGCCAACTGCATCCCTGGTTTCTTCCTTAAATCTTTTAGGGAAAGAAAGATTTGGTTGCTGTTGATACTGCCGAGAATGGTGATGCAAATGGTGACTTGAAAGATAGTGACAATGAGGAAACCCGCGAGGATGAGTCAACCACTGATTCAGATTCAGATGAAGAGCGCAGAAAGTAAATTGTTTACAATAGTTTTTCTTTCTTATAGTCGATAATTTTTAAGTTGTGACATTCTGAGATGTTTGCTGTAGGTATGATGCAAAAATGGAAGATATTCTCGACCAGGTCTATGAACGGTTTGTAACCAAAAAGGAAGGAAGTACAAAGCAGCGGAAACGTGCAAGGCAGGCCTACTCCGATCAACTTTTGGAGGTTTGTAGCTCCTGTAATGCGTGTCACACCTAGTTTATTCCAAGCCTTCCCTGAAGTGGAAAATACGAAAGATAATTCTCTTTAGTCGTTGATTGTGGTTTATACCCTTGTATTGTGCGTCATATGTCAGACAGTTCTTGTTTGTGCTCCTGCTCATTTTTTTGTTGTTGTTATTATTGGCAAAGTAGGAGGAGGAGAACAATTATATGGATCAATCAGATTACGATTCAGACAAAGACCTACCAGATCGTGAAGCGAATCCTCTTATGGTGCCACTCAACGAAGGGGAAGAACCAACGAAAGAAGAGATTGCAAACAAGTGGTTTGCTCAGGACATATTTGCCAAAGCCGTGGAGGAGGGCGATTTGGTTACTATCCCTGAAGATGAAGAAATGTTGGATGTTGTTGATAAGAAGCACGACAACAAACTTAACCCGTCAAAGAAGGCTGCTAAGACAGCTGATAATGCCCCGAAGCACCACACTCAGCCTCAACCCTCCAAACCCGAGGAGGATTTCGAGATTGTTCCTGCCCCTGGCACATATTCCAGTGACGACTCATCCTCTGATGAATCTGATGATGATGACATCAACAAAAAGGCCGAGATATTGGCCTGCGCAAAAAAGATGCTGAGGAAGAAGCAGAGAGAACTGATGCTCGATGATGGCTACAACAGGTACATGTTTGATGACGAGGGCTTGCCTGGTTGGTTTTTGGAAGAAGAAAAGAGGCATCGACAACCGGTCAAACCAATCACCAAAGAGGAGATGGCTGCCATGCGTGCACAGTTCAAGGAGATCAATGCTCGGCCGGCTAAGAAAGTGGCACAGGCCAAGGCTAGGAAGAAGCGGGTAGCCATGAGGAGGATGGAGAAGGTCAGAAAGAAGGCTAATGTGATCTCAGACCAAAACGAGATCTCTGACCGGTCAAAGAGCAAAATGATCGAGCAGCTGTATAAGAAGGCTGCACCGAAGAGGCCAAAGAAGGAATTCGTAGTTGCGAAGAAGGGAGTTGCGGTGAAGGGCGGCAAAGGGAAAGTGATTGTGGATCGGCGGATGAAGAAGGATGTTCGTGGGAGCAAGAAGAAAGGTAAAGGTGGATCAAAGAAGGGGAAGGATGCGAAGAAAGGTGGCCAGAAGAGTAAAGGTTCTGCGAATATGGGAGGGAACAAAGGGAGAAAGATGTGAGGTATGAAAACAGTAACCAGTCAAGAGCTTGGTAGAAAACCTTAAACCTTCATCGGAAGGATAATTTTTTTTAAATTAATCCAGTTTTGTTTGAACTCCCTCAAGAAAGTGGGAGTAGTTGCATTTTTGCAAGCTCTGTTCTTTGTGCTCATAGTGTGTGGCAGAGACTCTGTGCTGTGATAGCATAAATTGATCATATAATCTGTTTTCCCCTTAGCACTATAACGATTGCGTTTCGGGATACCAATTCGACACGAACAGATAACCCTACTTCTAACAGTTACTCCCGCCTTCATTCTTTCCCTTGTATGCATGGTTGTCACGCCGGCCGGCGTGCCACCGGTTGTACCAGGTTCAACCGATACCAGTCACAAAACCGGCGTGACATCACCGGTATGACCGGCATGATCGATATACAAATCTCTAAGTAAAATGACCTTATTTTAGCGAATTTAATTGATAAAAATTATTTTATTATTTATTTTATGAGTATAAAAATTAAATATTGATGTTATTTGTTGGATTCAAGTATAAATGTTAAGGTATTGACGTTAAATGTCATGTTTAAATATGAGTATTTATAATTTTATTTGTAATATTGACCGGCATGAACCGCCACAAACCGGTATGTACCACCGGTCGAACCATTCCACTTGCTAAACTGGCACACTGGCATAAACTGGTTTGACAACCTTGCTTGTATGAATAGGCAGCAAGACAGCTGCTCAAGATGCAACAACAATAATTACAACAATCTCACCCAAACTGATGCCTGTCATGAAACCTGCTTTTGTGAGCAATGCTTGAATTCGAAATCACCACAAGGAAAAGAGTAAAAAAAAGTTGATTTGTGGATAATTGCTTCAGTATGTATAATCAGTTTTTCCCTTAGCACTATAACGATTGCGTTTCAGGGTACCAATTCGAAACGATCCGATAACCCTACTTCTAACAGTTACTCCCGCCTTCATTCTTTCCCTTGTACAAATAGGCAGCAAGACAGCTGCTCAAGATGCAACAACAATTACAACAATCTCACCCAAACTGACGCCTGTTTTGAAACCTGTTTTTGTGAGCAATGCTTGAATTCGAAATCACCACAAGGAAAAGAGTAAAAAAGAGTTGATTTGTGGTATTAACCTTCTCGCCATACACAAGAAGTGCAGAGGAGAAAAACAGTTCAACAGAAGACATCACGGGATTACAACTGCAAATGAGCTAGTATGGAAATGAAGGGAAGCAATAATCGTATAGCAACAAAACTAGACAAACTGGTCAAGGTACTCATCAACAGTTGTGTACTTGACATCTGGGTAAAGCTCCGACGCCTCAACCCCAAACGATTCCTCAATCTCAAAGCTGGTCTGACATCCCTTCACCAGAATCGAGTGATTAAGCGCCATCATCACATCTCCTGCAAAACAAACACATTTAGAAAGCTGCAAAGGAGTTCAAAGTCCTGGTGCAATCAAACTGAAAATACCACTATACCATTTACTAACCTCTGGTGAGCTTCAGAACCTGTTCTTCAGGAATGTAAACCCTCTCCAGGGTCTTCCCAATCTTCCTCTCCCACAAACCTACCAGATCATTGAACGAATAGATGTTCTTAGGAGGCCTTATGTACACAAGCTTGTTCAACGTCCTCGGATCGTCCACCGCCCTAATCGTATAAGTTCCAATGTCATCTTCCCTGTTGTAAATTGCTGCAGCACAAAAACCAACCAACCCCTCAGCTTAATGTCAAACTGGGTTTCTGAACTAAACGCTCAATTCAACCTCAAAATGAATAAAGTTCGAACCTTTAGCATTGCCATCTCCTAAGATGATAACTCTGTCTCTGGGAGGCACGTCGCCGGAGGGCTGAGCCAAATTGCTAAGGAAATAGCCGGCGAAGCTGTTACAGGAGACATAGGTGAACGGAATCCCTGCGGCCTCAACAGCTCGCCGCATTCTGACTTTTACGTCATAAGCTGATTTCGCAGGCTCAACTGCTTCGACGCGATCCACATCGTTTCCAAACTCTGATGGGAAGAATCTCTGGAAGAGGAGAAAAGGGAAATCGAGCATCTAAGCATAAAAAATAAAAAAAAAAAGCCCCCCAAAAATTTCCCCCAGATTCTAATAAGCAAAACTTGAAAAACAGAGCAATGTCTACAAACCCACCTTGACATTTCCAGCTTCTTTAATGGCGGCGATGATCTTGACCTGATCGGTCAACATGCCATGGCCAACAGTGGAAATCACCACGTCGACTTGCTTCATTGCGTTCACCAAGCTTCCATGGTCGTGCAAATCGCCCTGCAAAATAGAAATTAAGAACCCTTGTTCTACTAAAAAAAAAAATTTGGTTCCATTATAAGGGTTTTCTTACAATGAGGAAATTGACGCCCAAGGACTTGAAGGAGTGGACGATTCTGGATCTTCTGGGGCTAGTAAGCGTCGATTTCCTGACCAGAGCGTAAGTTGGGTGGCCGGATTTGGCGCTGGCTTCGACGATGAACTTGCCGATGTAACCAGTCCCTCCGATGAACAGGATCCTGCTTTTGGTGCTGGTGGAAGCCATTTTTTGTGGGACTTTCTTTTTTGCTTTCGCTTGAAGAGCAGAGGAGAGGGAGGCTGAAGAGGATGAGCTTATGCCCAAAAACTGGCTAAAACTTCTTCTGTGATTTGATGAAGGAAAAAGAAAAAGAGTATTCTTAATCGCATGGTGGTACTTTCTTTTAAAGACATTTGTGTTACTTCTGGAAGATGGAGAAAGTGGGCAGAAGATTCGGCTAATAGAAGCTTCCCTAGGGTGGGGAAGGAAATGGTGGGTAGGTCGCCATTGCTGAATGCTGACCGACCGACCTCAAGAGCCCACTGGGATGGAGGATTCGGCGGGCAGGTTTGGTAGTAGACCGCAGAATCAATTCCCCCACCTATGTGATAAATGTTAATATTAGGACTTAGGAGGGACCAGTACCTCTGTTTAATAATGAAATCAGGTGATTTATAAATATACATAATTTGATTATTGACTTTCATTAAGTGTGTGTTTTTAATAGTGATAGTTAGAATCAATTTCGAGTTTTAAACCTCGACTAAAGTAATCTATTTATTAGTGACACTTTGTATCTAGTTGTTTTCTCAATAATAGAGTGATCTCTTGAGTCTTGACACAAAAAAAAGATAATATTTTCATTAATACTAGCCATGAAACAAAAAATTGTGTTTCTTATATAAATAAATGAATGTGTCAATTTGGTGTATATGTGGTGTTTATCTTTCTCCGCAAATTCTCCCTCCAAATAAATTTTGATACATTTTATCTTAATGAGTTATCTAATAATGATATTTTGAAAATTGATATTCAACTAGATAGCTTTAGCTAGGTATGTATGAAATGAGGATGGATAAGTGGTCTGCCAGAATAGATGGAATTGATATGTTTTTTATAATATTTATATGACTAAATAAATTGATGAATTATACGTTTACTAGAAGACATTCGAAACACAAATCTCACTTATTGTACAGTTTTGACTCTAAACTATGAGTTTGTCCTCCCATACATTTTGTCATTACAACACATTTTAGCAGTTTATGTGTTTATATGACTAAACCAATATGATGATCTCAATCACAAAGTAGAATCTAGGTATCTATTTATGTGCTTATTTATCAAACACACCATGTTTTTGTATAGACTAATAGTGTTGTTGTCATTTTTTTTTGGTTGAATTTTGTTGTCATTTTCCGCCTGTAAATATTGAAACACAATTTTTTCCATAATGAGATACATGAATAATAACATTCAAAGTTAAAATGATTGGTGAAATTATGAATGATTCTTTAGTAGGTTCAACACACGAAGATTGATATCTTAAATAGTTTGAAAAATGAGCGTATTTTGCAAGTTTAGAATATGACAACACATCGGATGTATATCATTGAAAAAATTAATATAAATTATCTTAAAATATACATTTCTTAAATCAAACCTACATTGAATGAATTTTTAAATACGCCGTTAAATTTTATTGCTTATGTAGATAATGTCGTTACTTTACATATAATAATATTATTTTTGTTCTGATAACATCATTACCACTTCGATAATTTCTTTGTTATTGACAGTAATCAACTCAACTAGTTTTTTACCCGCCCGTTGGGCGGTGGATTATGTTTGGTTATTTTATAATTCGCTATAGTATTCTAATTATTATTATTATTTATTTTTGTTGACTCACCAAAAAAAATATTATTTGTTTTTTAGGAGCTAATATACATGGAATTGTAAATCTCACTTACCTTATTTAAGGTAATGTTTCATACTTTTATACCTTTTTTATTTATGAAAATTTTAATTGTATTAACAAAACTCTCTATAGATTGTTCTTTACTGATTTAGAATTTTGTATCGAACTCAAAAAAGTGATAAAGAAGTTAAAAAATTGAAGGTCTCAAACGAAGAAGTTAGAGCTTTTCATTTTCTTTCCCTTCTCATATGTCGGTATAAGATAATAGAGAATATTCCGATCTAGATTCCACGAATATCGTGTATTATCAGTTAACCTGCAATTATGGAATAATGATGAAACACATTAGCATCCACATCAATCAATCTTCCGCATACTCATTTAATTTATTTTGGCATTGTTCTAGCAAAACCAACCACAAACAGAACTATCAGTTGTCACTAATTTATTAAAGCAATATTTTCAGCAAACTAAACTGCATATAAACACAATTTATATTTTATAGAGAGCTACATATCTCTTGCAGGGAAAAATGGTGCTTTTTTTTTACCAAATAACAACATAGACAAATAATGAAAGGAGCATACTTCAATACAACTCAACTCATTCTATCTTGCATATTCCTATTTTGTGAACTGAATTTATGCACTAATCCAAATAGTAGTTGGTAAGAAAACAATCATGTCAAAATCAAATTTTAGTTAGGAATTCAATGAGAAAAAATCCACCATAATGAAACAAACAAATGTCATTGCAAACGTGTAGAAATTGAAAAAACATCGAAATACACAACCGAGGAACCACTACCATCATTTTTCTTCTTCTTCGCGACCTTTATAAAACCCCAATTATGTTCCCTTCTACTTATAATCTCATTGCTACGTACTAATTACTAACCAGATTGTCATCTTATAGCTAGCTAGTAGCATGTCAATCATGAACGTAAAGAATATAATGAACAACCTCACAACTCTACTTTCCATTTCATCATCTAAAGAACTGGGTTGCAATAGGCATTTAAGAAAAACGATCAATTATTCAACCAAAGGAGATATGCCCTAAATCCAACCAATTATCCCTTCTCATTATATATTACCTATTTACATAAAAGTATAAGACATAATAGAGAACATAAAACAACTACGTGAAAACAAATAAGAAATACATTAACTCATCGAGTGGGGGAAATTTTGCCATTCAGCAGTCTTAATTTGGAAGAAATTAAGAAAAGAATGGAAAGAAGAGTGAGCAGTTGTCAACTTCAGATCAAGGAGGAAGAAGGAGGAATCGACAATTCTCGGTTTGGTTCACCTCGTCTTCACAATGATAGGATGAATTGTGTTCATCAACAGGCAAAAATATGTTACAACTTCTCAAAATTTTGCAATCTAATCGTTGGCTCATGTACCTCCCTCCTCCTATTATCTGACAAAGGAAAAAAAAACTTCATATGCATTATCATTTCTTTCTCTATCTAATTACTTATTTTCAATGTTGGATTTTATTTCCGAAGAGATAATCAAAATGGGAAAAGGGTAGAGATAAATTAAAATGTTGCATTCATAATTAATATGTTTTTATTTAATCGGAATGAATAAGAAGTGTTTTAAAAAATAACAATTATTGCAATGTCAAGTTTATCTTCAGACCTTTTCTATGTAAATTATACTTGTTTTATTTTATAAGTATATGCATTAGGAAGAAGTGAGTATTTGATAGCAAAAAATATATAGTCATATAATTTATTTTTCAAAGTCGATTGATTGTCAAACACTTATTTTCTCTTAGGACATCGTTTAAATTTTGTTTAATTGAAAAATTATTATTATTCATATGTGTGCTTCTTTTTAGTTTGTTTAATTGAATAAAATTATTACTTATGTGTGTTTGTTTGCTTAAATGTTTAAAAAAAATGTAACTTATTTTAAGTTTTAGTAAAAATGAGTAGACTTATTAAAAGAAGAGAGAGATAGCTCCATAAATAGATCAATAAATAAAATTTTGTTTGTATAAACATTATCCACCTTGGCATCTTGTGAATTCACCAAGTGCTTATGTGACAAGATATTAAGTATAGATAGATAGATAGATTTTTCATCAACCATCCTTCGAATCAGAACCTTGCAGCAAGCCCGACCAAACAAAAGAACCAAAGACCCAAACCGAAATTCATAATCCAACAGACACAATACAACAGGCTTACATACAACTACAAGGGCTCATAAACTTTCTCCAACCTTTGAAACAACTAGTCCAATGGAGCATCATACAATACAAGAAACAGCAGCGGGTTCTATTATTTATACACACAACACAAGGCCAGAAATTTTGAAACTTCCATAGAAAGGCAATTCAAGGTAGGTTAGGTAGTGTAGTGTTACTATTTCATCATCATATCAAGCTAAAAAGCTATCTTTATGTAGTTTCCCCCAGTTACCATAATACACAGACACCACACAAAAAAAAAACTCAGACAAACTGGGTAAGATACTCATCCACAGTCGAGTACTCAACATCAGGGTAAAGCTCCGACGCTTCAACTCCAAACGACGGCTCTATCTCGAAGTTGGTATGGTCTCCCTTCACAAACACCGAGTGCCCGATTGCCAGTATCACATTCAGCGGCGGTGCAGACTCTGTATCAAGCAAACAGAGTTATACACAGAAACTTGATCACCAAGTAACCAAAACTTCAAACAAACACACACAGACACTCGATTAATTACCTCGGATGTTCTCCAGAAGCTGTTCTTCAGAGATGTAGATCCTCTCCAACTTCTTGCCGATCTTCTTCTCCCACAAGGTAACAAGATCGTTGAAGCAGATCGTATTGGCCGGCGGCCTAATGTACACGATCTTGTTCAAGGTCCTCGGGTCATCCACAGCTTTGATGGTGAATGTCCCAATATCCTCTTCCTTGTTAAAGATTGCTGCTCGCTCGCACATACAATTGAATCCCAAATTAATCAAAACCCTGATCAAATTTTAGTTCCCCTGTCATTCAGAAACGTACCTTTAGGGGTTCCATCGCCGAAGATGACGACTTTATCCCGCGGCGGAGCGGCGACTCCAGGCTGGTTCAAGGTCGGGAGGAAGTAACCCGCGAAGAAGTTGGCTGACACATAGGTGTACGGTATCCCCGCCGCCTCCACTGCTCGCCGGATGCTCGCTTTGGCCGCGAATGCAGTCCTCGCCGGCTCCACCGCATGCACGCGGTCCACATCGTTCCCAAATTCTGACGGGAAGAATCTCTGACATTGGAAACCGTATTGCAGAATTAGAAATGAGAATTAAGAGATGGAACAGAGTAAATTAACCACCCGAGTTTACCTTGATGTTGCCAGCTTCTTTAATTGCGGAGATGATCTTGTTTTGATCAGCCAGCTGGTCCTGGCCGACAGTCGAGATCACTACGTCCACCAGCTTAATCGCCTTCACCAGATTCTCGTGATCATTCAGATCACCCTGCCACCAGGAAATTAAAAAAAAAAAACCCCTCATTACATTAATTAATCCCAAATCCAATCAATTAGGGAAAACGCGAAATTGGAAATTGCTGCCGCCGGCGGGAGCAAGAAACGGTACGATGAGGAGCTTGACGCCGAGCTTGTTGAAGGAGTCGATGGTGTTGGATTTGGTGGGGCTAGTGAGAGTGGAGCGGCGGACGAGAGCGTAGGTAGGGTGGCCGGCGTTGGCGCTAGCTTCCACTATGTACTTCCCTATGTACCCCGTCCCTCCGATGATCAGAATCTTCGTCTTCTGCTCTGCCATTGGCTGCTTTCCGGCGACTTGGTTGGATTTTCTTAAAGCTGAATTTGCTGATATCGCAATGCTCTGCTTCTGTGCTTTTTGTTCGGAGAGAGGAGGGCGTATAAATAGCCGTAGAAGAGGGTTTAAGAAATGGGGAAGTCAATGAGTTTGACCGCTGCATTTACGGTTATGTCCTTTGGGGAGTTTAGTGGGCTGGGCTCTCTCTGTGAGCTTGCTCTTGTTTCCCTGACCCAAAAAAGCTGGTCCATGGGTTTAGTTATTATTGTGGGCGTGGTGGATTCCTAATGAGAGTTGACCTTTCTATGATCACAGATTGTAAACTCGCTTCAACCATCGAATTGGTCATAAGCTATTTGATTAATTTTATGCAACCACGACGAACTAAAACAACAACACATAATTGAGCTGTGGTTTGCCACATTACCAGCGATAACAAACAACTTAGCAGACGGTTTAATTTACACCTTGTATTCTAGTTTTTTTTTTTCAATAAGATTTTGTGTTCATGATCCGATGTGAAAATAATTCGATCAATCTAAATCGGGTTCGGAAGGAAGGAATAGAGATTCAACAGACTAAATTAACACTGACAAAAACATATGATAACAATCACAAGCAAAAAAATGACGCAAAATTTGGAGAACACAGTTGTTCAAAGCCGCTTAATATCATCTGTACAATGGCTCATTGATGGAAATGTGATTCAGGAAATGACATCCATGCGTGCTACAAAATCATAATGCACACCTTCAATCCATCGTTACCAAATATGTTGAAAAGAGGATGAATTGATCGTGAGAGATAAATGTCATATATTTTTAATGCAATGTTTGAATTTTAGTAAATGGATGTTTTTTCAAGACCACTTCGTTTTGTTGGCAAGAGACGTGTCAACGGGTAATTAGCATAAATGGTAACAAACTTTTGCACTTAGTACAAAATGGTCACAAACCTTTAATTTGTAACAATACCGTAACAAAACTTTGAAATTGTATAAAATGGTCACCGCTATTTAATTTATGACCGTTTTGTTTTAAGTGCAAAGGTTTGTTACCGAATCGTTACAGATTAAATGTTGGTCATGTTTTGAGGTCGGGTAGTTTGTTCGTTAAGTATATGACACTAACCACTTGAACGACATATAAGACGTCAGGTCATGTGTTCATCGACATATTTGCTTTGCCGAATAAGAATGCCCTCAGTTGACCTTTCAATTTCGATACCAAGAAAGTAAGAAAGTAGACATAGTTTTTCAACTAAAAAGCAGTCTGGAACCCGTTTGTGAGCCATTGAATTCTCTCATTGTCATCCTAAACAACATAATATCATTCACATACATTAACAAAACCACCATACAACTAGAGTGAATTGTAACGGTGATTGAGCGTTCAAACTTTTGAACTTAATTTGTACAAAACGGTCACCAAAAGTCTAATTTGCAACGACACGGTAACAAAAGTTTGAACTGGTATGAAATGGTCACACTGTTTAATTTGTGACCGTTTTGTTCTAAGTAAAAAAGTTTTGTTATCAAATGGTTACAAATTAAAGGTTTGTGACGGTTTTGTACTAAGTGCAAAGGTTTGTGACCATGCTAATTATCCACGTGTCAACCAAATCTATAACCTTTAACTACCTAATATTTTGTGTAACAATGACGCATGCAACATAAGACACAATTTGTCACATACTTGATTAATATGCAAAACCCTTTTTGCCCCCAACAAATTTTGGTGATGCGACTATCGGTTTTTCTTCAAGACGATAACATATCACTTGATAGCTCATACTCAACAATCCTCGTGGATATTGAATCCTCAAGATTTTCAATGCACTGAAGGGAGAATCTATGTTAGGAGTTAGAATTTAAAAAATCAAGCATTGCTTGCATTTTCCAAAATTCGGGTACCTACGAACCTTGTCAAAATACAAGCTAAGAGACTTTGCATTGTGCAGGCCACAGAACAAGGACATGAATGCACGATCCAGCCTCTCCATCTTCCCAACGTTACTGTCCCCGGCTCAATCCAATCTAACCTTCTCCCCGACCATACAGGTCTTCGAGGTGACCCAACTTAAACGATTCGACCTTTCGAGTCAACAATTTCTCGACCCTGAAACTCGGCCAGATGTATGGATTCCAAATCTCCAGGTCCAACACCTGGGGCAGTGACACTATTATGAGATCCACCGCCTTGCAACGGAGCAGCTTCAAGCGCTTCAAACTAGGAACAATTGCAGAACCTGTTCTTGTCGTTGGATTGGCATAAGAACTGTAGAAAGAGCACTCCCTCAGTTCCAAAGTTGTCAATGAACTGAAGCTAGGAAACGCAGATGAACCATGGAACCACGACCTGACCAGCCTGAGAGACTTCTTTTGATCGGAGCTGAGAGACAGAAGAAGCTTTTCTACGTGTACTCTGCGACTCGGCTCATCGCAGCAAGAGAAATTGAGAGCAGGGGTGGCTTTCCACAAGGTCTTCCATCTTTTGCACAGGACGCTGGTTCGGACAAGGGACTTGGTGTCGAGAAAGGGAGAATGTGGAAGAGAATTTGCTCGGGAAGATGATCAATCATGTTCACTCTGTCGAGTGTCGACCGTATCTTGTTCTTCCACAGCAGCGTGATCACGATCATGGTGACTCATTTTGGGTTTCTCCGATTCCTTCTCTTCCGCCGTAGCACCCATTCTTCATTAATCCTAAAACGACAATGTTACGTACTGAAATAATTTATGTGATAGGTTCTCGCAAAGTAATACAAACTTGAATCAGAACCAAAGAAATAACAATGAAAGAAAGAAAATAAGGAAGCTAATTGGATTTCAATCTTCTCACAGGCATTAACTATAAAGCGAATACATATTTATATGTTAGAAAAATATGACCACTACTCTCACAAGAAAACGATAACAATTCCCAAGCAATAACTAAAACAGAATTCAAATCCAACTAGAACAATGAATTATAAAGTTATAATAATACACATGTGCATATGTATCATGGAAAACAGAAACCTAATCAGCAACTTGAACTGAAAGGTTTCTACCTCTTAAGGGTAGCTGAAGCTGCTGCTTGATTTCAGTGCAATCAGACAAGTTTGTTAAGGTACTCATCCACGGTGGTGTATTTGACCTCGGGGTAAAGCTCAGAGGCTTCTACTCCAAAAGAAGGTTCGATTTCAAAGTTGGTTTGATCTCCCTTCACGAACACCGAGTGGCGAATTGATAATACGACACCCATTGGGGTTGCAGACTCTACAGACAAGTTAAGAAAGGATTTCAGAGACAGCCACCAAGGCATTAAATTGAGCTACATCATGCTCAGAAGTACTTGAAAGAGGAATATATCCACCTTGAATGTTCTTCAGGAGCTGTTCCTCTGAGATGTAAACCCTTTCAAGGATGTGCCCGATCTTCTTCTCCCACAAAGACACGAGATCGTTTAGGGAGATTGTGTTGCCTGGTGGTCTTACGTACAGAATCTTGTTCAAGGTTCTTAGATCATCCACTGCTTTGATGGTGTAGGTTGCAATCTCCTCCTCCGTATTAAAAATTGCTGCTCATCGAAACATCAGATCGTTACATTTCTATTCCGAAAAGTTCAAGTTATGGAGATGAAGCTAGTTCTCTACACAACAGGCCAGAACAGTGAATGACACCACATTCTTAAATTGGCATCATCAGTCAAAGTGCAAGAATTCCAGTTTACTTGCTGGCTTAGCCGGCAGATGCATTTGTTGGGTGTTTACCTTTAGGGTTTCCATCTCCGAAGATAACAACTTTATCTCGCGGTGGAGCTGTGGTTCCGAGCTGGGTCAATGTGGCGAGAAAGATGCCATTGAAAAGGTTGGAGGATACGTAGGTGAAAGGAATGCCTTCGGACTCAATAGCCCGACGCACTTTAGCCTTGCTGGCGAATGCAGTTTTAGCTGGCTCCACAGCGTTGACATGATCCACATCGCTGCCGAACTCCGACGGCAAGAATCTCTAGGTCAAAGAAAGAACACAAAATTTGGGAAGTTTTTCATCCGTATTTGTTTCTCAGAGACAAAACGTCGAACACATAGCATGCACGATGATGAGGATTCAAAACAGAAGGAAAAATACAGAGTGATGATCGAACTATGATAATGATGATCGACCTTGATGTTTCCTGCTTCTTTGATGGCGGAGATTATCCTGACTTGATCGAGCAGCTGGGCGTAACCTACAGTAGAAATCACCACATCCACTTGCCTGATCGCCTTGACCAAGCTCTCGTGATCGTAGAGATCGCCCTGCAGCCCACAGCAAATGGGTAAACTTGTCAGATACCAAGCGGAAACAGAGTCAAAACTTGTGGAATGAGCATCGCGGAGACTGGAATTTGAACTCACGGTGAGGAAACGGACGCCAAGGGTCTTGAATTTGCCGATGACGGTTGATTTCTCGGGGTTAGAGAGAGTGGATTCTCTGACGAGAAGGAAAGTAGGGTGACCAGATTGGGCGCTGGCCTCGACCAAGTATTTTCCGATGTAACCGGTGCCTCCGATTAACAGAATCTTGCTCTTTTCCGCCATAGCTGTAGTTCTGCCGGCGAGACTGCGGGTGATTGGACTGAACTCATGGTAGTTAGAGAAGAGTGTAATAAGATAAGGTCAGTCAATGCGGGGTATTTACACCATAGATGCTGTAAGTTTTCGTTTCTTTCAATTTGAGACCACCGGAAAAATAAATGCATTAATTTCAAGGTTGTCAACCCGCGGGTTGACCCGGACCCGGTCGAGGTAGTGGGTCAAGGGTTAATGGGTCAATCGTTTTAGTCCGGTTTGGCCCGGAAATATAGCAAGAGTCATTATATTGTACTTATCCTCATAAACTATATCAAATCTTATCTAACATATGAGTTGTAACATATAATATTACACCAAAATAACATATCGTACTTAGATCCAACATATAGTGAAAATTCACACACTTATATAACATAAATATTCAAATGTTCAACTTAGTATTCCAAAGATTGTGTTAGGCGAAAAGAAAAATTGGAAAATAGGCGCATTTCGCAACCTAAAGAAAAAAAAGACACAATTTGACCTCCAACCCGGTACCTTATAGCGGTCGGCCCGTTTTTCTCACCGGATCAGGGTCAAATTGGGTCGACCTGTGGGTCAACCCGCGGGTTGACAACCTTTTAATTTCGACAACATTGAGTATAATTGTTGACTTGTGTCATATAGGAATGACAATTTCGACCTGACCCGATTTACCCGACTTGTTTGCCCTGTTTTGGGACAGGTCGGACCTGCCCCGTAGGCGGTGCGGGACGGACATGTGTACTTCTCATGGACCCGACATGCTCTGACCCGCCCCATTTTCGACCCGTTCTTGCCTAGATTACATGTAATCTTAGTAAAATTACTTAGGATTTTCCTTTGGGTTGATATTTTCGTATGGCCTGAACTTTGATCAAAATAAACATCCTGGCCAATCTTTTCGATCTATAACATCCTGGCCCGAATTATAGACCAAAATAAACAATTTGGCCAAACCCAATATTTGACCGTTAACTTGGACGGTCAAACGCGTTGACTAACGATCAACGCGCCACGTCACTGCCAAGTCAGAAGATCTGATAAATATTTAATTTTTTCGTTTTTTATTTTTGGTTTAACTAAGGTATTAGATGATTTTTTAATTTATAATAATTTAAAATTAGGGAATGTGTGGAAATTGTGAATTATTTTAAATATTTTATGCTGACTTGGCAGTGACATGGCGCGTTGTCTAACGGTCAACGCGTTTGACCGTCCAAGTTAATGGTCAAAAGTCGGATCTGGCCAAATTGTTTATTTTGGTGTATAGTTCGGGCCATGATGTTATAGATCGAAAAGATTGGCCAGGATGTTTATTTTGGTCAAAGTTCAGGTCATACGAAAATATTAACCCTTTTCCTTTTATTACAAAGTTGTAAATAAGTGAAAACATCAATTTCTTAAATAATTTAACTACATTTTATCATATTATGGTTTTTTTGTCTTTTAGTGAAAATAACAAATAGTTCTAATGATTTTTGCATAAATTACGTACCCATTGGGTCGACCTACCCCGACCCGCGCCCCGTGATAAATTACCCGACCTGCCATGGGGCGGGTATGTGTATCGAGAAACCCGCCCCGGACCTGCCCCATCGCCATTCCTACTCTTATCTGGTCACCAAGCTCCTTTGAAAAAAAGACTGCTTAACAGAGTGTACTGGCCTATTTAAAGCTTCACCTATTGACTACTAGGTTCGCAAAGGTTTACATCTGTACGAGTTTTAGGAATAGTAACTTGTAGCTTGTATTATTATAAAACAAAAAAGAGTTTTATATAGATTACAAGACTTGGACAATAAGTAAGAGAACCACAATACTAGAAGGACACAAAAACACTAAAAACTATACTAAAAGGACATGGAAATATAAAATTATTCCTAATCTATTTCTAACAACATCAACATATTAATGTGTTACAGAATTGATGAGTAAGAATTCTATGAGAGTCTTCAAAAATATAAAGTCATTCCACTGTAAACTTTTCTTGTACATAATTAGTCTCTTCAAAAGGATAGCAGATATCTTGATAATAGTGACTTGATAATTCTTGTGGATATTTAATCCTCAAGGTCTTCAATACAGGGAAAAACAAGGGTAAATACAATATATTATCCATAACTATTAAATAGCGGGAAATTATAGCCCCAACTATCGAAATACAAATTATTAGCCATAACTATTGTTGTGGGTCAAGATTTGGCTAACACCCCGTTACTGTTTTCAAATTTTTAACATAGAAGGCCATGTCAGCATCGTAAAAAATATGATATGATGACTGCCACGTGGGAGTCAGCTCACCATCGTAAAAGCTTAGTCATCATTACTAACAGAAGTGTTAGCGAAAACTTAACGATTGGCTAATAATTTGTATTTCGATAGTTGTGGCTATGATTCTCCGTTGCTTAATAGTTATGGATAATATATTGTATTTGCCCAAAAAACAATGTTGTTTATTCGCCAACAGCTTGATTTGTCCAAGCCGAACATCGAATTGTTTCCACGGCCCCGTCAGACTTCCGCAACGCTATAAAAAAACAAAAAAGGAAACACACAACCGTCAGTCAGTACGTATGTTATAATCAAGTTACATAAGTTGGTTTGCGTAGCCAAAGCATGCACAGTATCATATTTGTTAGCGATGGTAAAGGGATAGTTAAGCCTCGAATTGTGGATTTTTACACGAGGCATGAAATGGGGTAGTTATGAGGATTCGAAACCATAACCTTTCGGTTCTAGGCTCTGGTACCATGTTAGCGAACTAACCACTTGGTCCCAATAACTCGAGTTGTTGGGAAAGGGATAGTTAAGCCTTTTAACCTCTAATAGTATTTCTTACACGTTCCTCAACTTTATTACGTACTCTGTCAAAACGCAAGTCGAGAGACGTCGCGTTGCGCACACAACGCAGGAAGGCAACGAACGCACGAGCCAGCATTTCCTTCTTGCGACCATCACAGCGCCCCGGCTCCTCCCAAACGAGGCGGAGTGATGAAGTACAAAGGCAAAGGAGTGATGGATTTGAATCAGCAGGAACAGAAGGCTCAAGGGAAGATGGCGGCAACTCTGCAGAATTCAATTCCAGAAGAAGCTCAGTTCGGTTGAAACGTTTCGGAGTGGCAGGCCGTTTCGTCTCCAACGAAAGCTGAGGAAGATCAGAACGACAAGGCTTTACTTTTATGTTTGTTAGTTACTGCTTTAATGATTTGGACAAATGGCGTTTAGCCACGTCACTGTTACCGTTGTGTAAACAGTAAAACTTGAACAGCTATATAAACAAAACCCAGCAGATGCAAACGCTGAGGATTCCAAAACCCTTTCCTCCATTCTTCAATTTCTACATGGTATCAGAGCAGATCTGAAGCAATGGCGGACAATCAAGGTCAAAATCGACCTCCACCCAATACACCACCTCAAACACCTCCACACAATCAAACCCAACGCACTTCTCCTTCTCTGCAGTTTGGTCAGTTTACTGATGGTAACAATTTCAACAACAACTCTGCTGCTGCTTCTGGATCTGGGACTACTGCTGCTGCTGGTGCTGCACCAGATCCAAACTTCGGTAACCCATTCTACATTAACCCTAATGAGAAAATCTAGCTCAATCGGTGATTCCCATAGTCTTGGATGGTCCTAACTATCAAATGTGGTCTAAGGCTGTGAGGGTAGTGTTGAAAACGAAGCATAAACTTGGTTTTATCGATGGTAGCATTCCTGCACCACCTCAGGGAGACCCATTATTTCATATTTGGGATGCTTGCAATACTATTGTCTTGTGCTGGATCACGAATTCGTTGCAGAAAGACATAGCTCGCAGTGTCCTGAGTCATGACAATGCTCAGGTTCTATGGACTGAGTTGAAGAACAGGTATGGTCAAGCTAGTGCTCTGAAACTAGCTAATCTGGAAGACGACATCCATGCTTTTAAGCAAGGGAATCGAACGATTACCCAGTACTACACAGAAATGAAGGGTTTCTGGGAGGAGTATAGTCAGTTTAACCCAATTGTTCCATGTGGGTGTGCACCTGGCAACCCAATGCCATGTGCTGCTGTGGAAGCGTTCAAGAACAAGCAGAACCTGGATTACTTGATCCGTTTTCTAGGTGGTTTGAACCCTGAGTATGATCAGATCAAGACCCAATTACTGATTATGAAACCACTGCCCACAGTGGTTATGGCATTTGATGATCTCTTGCAGCATGAGCAGAAACTCAAAGCTGAAGGCAATCATAAGCACAAAGGAGGTCAGTCAGTTGCTTTAGCTGTTGGTGGAGGTAACTCTAGCAATGCATCTTCAAGGCCTAGCAGGGATGCACCACCTGCTAGAGGGGACAAGGAGGAGTTATTTTGTAACTACTGTAAGAAGACAAACCATGTCATCAGGGATTGCTGGAGACTTAAGAAGAAGAGACAAGATCGAGAGAATGCTGAGAATGCAGGGCGTTTTGCAGGATCAGTTGGACAGAACATAAGATCAGAAGAGGGTAGTCAGTCTGAAGGATTGCAGGTAGAGGTGGAAAGCAGGTTCACTAACTCAGTTGGAGGCTTCACAGCAGAAGAAATGAGCAGGTTAAGAGGCATGCTGCAGATGTCAAACTCCACTTCTCCTACATCACCTCAGAGTCCAGCAATTAACCACAGAGCACACTCAGTGACTACTCATTTGCCTAGCTTCCCTAATTCAGCAGGTAAATATGTTCTGTCTTCCACTTACTCTACTACTACTTCATTGTCATCTACTTGGATTCTTGACACGGGTGCATCAGATCATATAGCCTGTTCCCTTCATTCGTTTCACAAATGTCTTCCAGTGTCTGATGTTCATGTTTATCTTCCTAACAAAACTAAAGTTCTGGTCAGTCATATAGGATCAGTCAAGCTTACTCCTGGATTGTTCCTTCACAATGTCCTCTTAGTTCCCAGTTTCACCTTTAATCTAGTTTCTGTCAGCAAGCTGACACATGACATGCCAATCTCACTTCTTTTCCAATCTAATGTTTGCCATATCCAGGACCTCATCTCGACCAGGATGATTGGTTTGGCTCGAGAAACTAAAGGCCTGT